TTTCAAATAATGAAGAATTGCACTATGGTGATGGTGGTGTGATTATTGATATGTAACTGTTCTAGGAGCATTTTTAGATGTTGACTACAATAGCTGAATAACTTAGGCTACGTATTTTAGAGAATGCCTTCTCCTGTGTAGCCTTAACTATTACCATCCCTGCTACCACTCAGCAGCATTCTATACTGGAAGATCCATGATCACTCTCTGGTGTTTGGGGGGCGGGGGGCGGGGTGGCATATCTCCCCTCCTTGCAACTATATGAGGGACTACTATTCTGATCAAGAAAGTAGTGTTGGGGTGCTTAGCCCTTCCATCCACTCTTCCAGATTAAATTCTGCCACTGATGCTCAATTTGCACATTCTTCAACCCTTTAATCAGGGCTAGACAGAAAGCTTGCGATTATAGATAGTGGATGCTTATTTTTAGAGTGTTGCATGAAGTATTTAGCCAATCAAAATACTGTAATTTTCCTCATCCTTATTTATAGGAACTTAATACATTATTCTTATTCATATATCATTCTTTGGGAAAGCTCAAGTGCAAAGATTTATTTATTACATTTTTATACTGCCCAGTTAGCCAAAGTGCAGTTCACAACAATTTAAAACATAAAATACAGTATAGAATGTAAATGGTTAAAACTCTACAGTATAAGATAAAAGTAGGAACTAGAATAAGACTTGGCAGTAGTACAAAGATTTAAAATATAACACAAAATGTAAGCAAACTAAATTTCCAAGGAAAATCTACTTTAGGTTGACAAAGATGTTACTAATGTATACATTCTGGAAAAAAAATAGTAACATTAAATGATATAATCTGAAGTTGTTGAGAATGGAGAATATTTTGTAAGAAGCTATACTTTTATCTCTGCTCTTTCCCTCCTTTGTCTTGCAATTAACCCCCCCCACACACACACACTTTTTCTGTCACTTGTGTAGTGGCTGCATGTCAGATAAATTTAGGAGTTATTCTCTGTTAATGTAAAAAGAACTATAGAAAAGTAGTTTCAGAAATTATGAGTACTTTTATTGTGACATTAGTACACAGTTAAGAAAAATTATTAAAGTACCTTCTGGATGAATGCATTTATACCATGATTTTAACTTCTGTTGGCAGCTCTTCCATGCGTTATCTAGATTGCATGCTGTGTTAGCATTTTGGTTGCTTTTACATTTGTTCAAAGTTCATATTCAAGAACACTTTAGTTCTTGGATTATTAAATCAATTTGTCCTGCAGCAGGATTTGCATTGCTTCATATGCAAACAGCAGCTATAAATATCTGTAGTATGTTATGGATTGTGACATTCCAGATTCACACTAAACTATGCTATAAGCAACTGACCATTAGTTCTTTTTTCCTCCTTGTATCAAATGGTTTCTGCTTCTTGATTCATGTGCTTTTTTAATGAAAATAGGTTTTCGATATATAAGCAGGTTTGTTGAGTTGGATGTTGTTTTATTCCATTTTTGTTGTGATTGCATTAAACAGTTTATTGTTTTAACCAAGTTTTATTTATGATTTTAAACTTTGAGTGCTATTTTTGTTGGTAGAAAGATGGAAACAAATCATATAAATAAGTTCTTTTCACACCAGTTATATAATCATACCTGATACTATGCATCCATGGATGTTGAATTTTTCATGGAAATTAGTATTCAGTTGCCATTGTCCTTCATGCTTCCATTCATGACTCTCCTTTTGTATCTGTTTTGATCACTTAAAGGGGAAGGTGATTGTGGGGTAGGGTTTAAATTTCCAAATAAAGAGGTGGTGCTTATGTTAATAGTGTAGGTGCATAATGGGAAGTTTGAGGGGAGTACACAGCAACCTGGGTATGTAGAATAGTGCCTGCACATATATGTGCACACATGTTTGTGACTTTGGACGCTGTTTATAATTTTAAAGCATACTTTACCCTTTGATGCAAAACTTGAATTTTCTTGATGCAGAACTTTTCTATTTAATTTATATTGCTCACGCTCTAAAACTATCCTTAGTGTTCTTGTTAAAGACAGGTTCCATATGCCCATATGTACCAATCTGGAAGGTCTTTGGTGGTCCTTCTTCAGGGACTTCTTCTTCAGAGGAGGGTCGTTTTGGCTGTGGCATGGGTTGTGGATTAAGCATTTAAAGAGATGCACCTGGCACCTCCTTTGTATTCTTCTTGGTGCCAGGTGAAGACTTTTTATTCTACCAGCATTTCAACAGTTTAATTTTTAACTTCATTTTTTAATATTGCACTTTATTCTGTACCAGTGCTATGCTAATTCAGTTGCAATTGCTATATGTTGTGTGTGTGTGTGTGTGTGTGTCAGTTTTAAATTAATTCTTTTCATTAACTGGCCAGAAAGTCTAGGCTATTGAGAATTATAAAAATGAAATATATGCATAAGATATATTTACAATAGTCTAATACACTGCTAACTATAAGCCAGGAATGATGCAACATTTGTGCTGTGCAAAATTTGAGCAGGATTTGCAGCACTTTTCTAGCAGAGTGTGTGATTATATCAAGATAAATTTTCAAGTGGAGATTGGGATATTTATTAGTTATCTATAGATAATTCCTTGGACAAGGTAGAACTTGGTGCAGTGGCTTGCCTATAATAAGCACTAAATAGGGTTTATATGGAAGATGAAAAAATTGTCTTACCTGTATTAACTTCATGCTATAGATAATGAGGATTGAGTATGAGAAAATTTCAATATTTGAAACAAGATCATTATGAATGTCGAAAAGCTACATGATTTTTGAGCTAAAAATTAACATTGCTATGCTGGTTTCTGTGACAGTTCAGAAACTGTTCAGACACTTCAAGATGCAGTCTTCCTTTTATCCAAATTAGTGATTTGGGCAAACACAATATGTGTTAATCTCTCCAAAGGTGGAAAAAAAGAGGAGTCTACTCTGCTAAATCAGAGGTTATTCTATGCAAAGAACCCACAGAAGTTTAATCATGGAAATAAATGTTTTGTGAGGTCAAATATTGGTAAAGAATTAACAGAACCCAAACTGCATGATATGTTCTCTTCAAAGTAGTTTGAAACTACTGCTTAAGAAACCTTTGAAAGAGAATGGCTTGCTTGTGGTCATCAATTAAATCAAAATTTTTATATTGTGACTTCAAGAATGTATGACAAAAACTAGTTAATAAATAGGAAACTACAGATATAGCCGTGCTTATGTTTGCTTTTATATTAGATATACATATGGCTTCAACAACATGTCCCTTTCAGTTATCTGAAAAAGAGACAACAGCCAACACCTTATGTTCGGCAGTTTCAAAGGCCCTTAAAGGAAATAAAAGAGAGATTGTTCTCTATTTATCCATCACTCTGTAGTCAAAGGTCATAGATGTAAGCAGTGCCAAAAAAGGCAAAAGCCAGACTGGCAGGATTCCAGGAAACCAATGGCTTCCGGGGTATATGAAATTGGAGTGACCATCTGTTCAACAACCTTTCTTCCAAAGTGAAGATTGGAAGCAAAAGAGTAACTGCCACAAAAAGGTAGCATTTTTTACTGTTCTGAACAATGTAAAATAAAGCCACATAGCATAGCATGTCTTACTAAGAAAGAAACATTGTCAGTCCTAGCCTGTAGTTTTACTTGACTGATTAAAATCAATTTGGATTGGCACAAACTCAGTTCACAAGTGGGCACCTGCATACCTGCAAATAGCTATTCAGCATTGATAAGCATAGTCAATTGAAACAGATCCAAATAAACAAGACCAGGCCAATTCTGATACTACAAACTATGACTTTGCAGATTGCCAGTAGGGTTTTTACTATTTGTTTATTGTTGAATGTCCAATATATTTTTTAAACACAGCCTACTATAATGCAGGGGCAAAAGGGAGATCTTAGGTAAGGTAAAGGTAAAGGTTTCTCCTTGACATTAAGTCCAGTCATGTCTGACTCTAGGGGGTGGTGCTCAATTCTGTTTCCTAACTGAGGGAGCCAGTGTTTGTCTGCAGACAGTCTCCGTGGTCATGTGGCCAGCATGACTAAACACTGAAGTGCATGGAACACTGTTAGCTTCCCACCAAAGTGGTATCTTTTTATCTGCTTGCTTTAGAGCTGCAAGGTTGACAGGAACTGGGACGGAGCAAGGGGAACTCACCCCATTGTGCAGATTTGAACCGGTGACCTTTCAATCAACCAGCCCAGCAGTTTAAACCACTGCGCCACCTGCATCCCTTGTAGATTAGGTAGGCAGGCAGAAATCTATTGCTTGGTCTCCATGTGATTTGTAATAGATTAGCCAGGATTTCAGACTTTTAGAGCAGAAATACACATGCTGCATGAAAGTGGGGGATGGGTTGTTTTAAGGCACACAAATACTGGGAAATGTTGAGGTACAGTTGAGTGGATCAAACATGCTAAATATCTCCCAATGATAGATTTAAAGTCCCTATTTATTTATTTATACATGGCTTTGCTTAAACAACAAACAGAAGGACTCCTATTGGGTTGAAAGAAAGGGGCAGGAGGAGTATGCTCTGATTCTGAGTGAAGGATGTTGGGGACAGTTGAAAACAATCTGAGTTTATTATACTTGGCTTTCATTCATAAAGTAGATTGGACATGCCAAAATAACCTTAAATTAGAGTGTTTTTCTTGTTAAAAATTATTGTTTTGATGGTTTAAAATTGTGTCAGAGGGAAGCAATTGATAGAGCACAATCTCTTAAAAGTTTTAGAAGGCTCCTGACTTTCTGCTGGAGAACAACATACTCACGAGAGTTGATAACTGACCTCTCTGTAAATGTTATTTTATTTATTTATTTATCAATTTATATCCTGCTTTTTTCCTACAAAGGGCTCAAGGAAGCTTACATCATTCTCCTCCTTCTTATCCCCACAACAACAACCCTGTGAGGTAGGCTGGGCTGAGAGTCTGTGACTGACTCAAAGTCACCCAGTTGGCTCCATGGCTGAGCGGGGACTAGATCATCTGAGTCCCAGTCCCATGCTCTTAACCACTACACCACACTGGCTCTCCAGTTACAAATTGCACAAAATAAAATCTATAGCTGTGAATGTGAAAATGGAGTTTGGTGGGGAAACTACAAGTTACTTCACCAAATCACTGTGCAACAGAGAGCTTATATAACCTCGACTGGGTATTTCATACCAACCTGTGATCCCAGAGTATGCCGTACAGGATCAAAAACATAGGCAGATCTTGCTAGATAGGACCAAATGTCCATCTAGTTGAGCCATTCTGTCGCCCTCTGTGATCAGCCAGGTTCTGAAGATAATTGTCATTTGAGACAGCAGGTGTTTCTCTGTATTTCAGTTTGGTTTGTTTAAAAGTGCCAAGTTTTAAAAGTTGAATCACAGTGTGGTTAGAATGTTGAACTGGAAGATGACATATCTGGGTTCTTGTCCCTACTCAGTTGAGTAGCATGTTGGGTGATTTTGGGCCAGGCTCTGCCTTTTAGCTTACCCTACCTCATGATGGTGGTGGTGTGAGAATAAAATGGAGAGGAGGAGAAGCTAATAAACTGCCTTAGTTGGTTTTTGTTTGCTCATTTGTTTTTGCAAGAGGAAGAAAAGTGGAGTAAAAATGTAATGCAATACAGTATATTGAGAAGGTTTGGCATAAAGAAAAATTTGCCACATTTTTCTTCAGACCACTCTCTTGAAATGTTAGGTGACTGTCTCACTGTGTGTTTGCTTCTAGTGTTTTTGTTTGTTTTTGATTTTGGACATTTCTGAGTTTTATACTGAGTTCTTGAAGAAACCACAGGCTTAGAAAGATGAACCAGTCGTTTGAACTAGACCTAGATTTGTTACTTGGCAGTTCTTTTAATACTAGATCTATTTAAGGGGGAACTTGTGTTGGGTGAGAGCAGTAACATGCTGCCAGTATCTGTAAAATGAATACTGCAACAATATCTTGTTTGAATACTTTCTACAGTTACTCTTTTCTTGCATTCTCTACTGTACTCTACACAGCAGGCAGGATCTGAAGAACAGCTTAGGCCCAAGGAATATGCTAGGCCAGAGGACTCCCTGCCACTGCCCTTTTTGCAATCTGACATCTGTACCACAGCAAAAAGTGCTTTAGAAACTACCCACAATTCAAAAGTAGTTTTCACTGCAACATGTGGGACTCCTGTTTGAGAAAAACAAGTCTAAAACAATATTGAGCTTATGGATGCTGGCCACATTGTAGTATTGGACTGCTCTGCTCTCTTTAAACCCAAGAATGAAGATATCTGGTATTCTTGATGAGGTATTCATAGTAATGATTTCTACATGTATACTCAAACCGGGAAGTTCCCACAGCTGCTATAATAGGGCCCCACTTGTATTTCTGAATGTTATGTTAGCTGTAATGCCTCCATGACACATGCATTATTCGAAAATATAATTAAGCAGGTTGACTGAACTATTGCTATGGGAAGTGCAACTTTCGAGTTCCAGGCATGTGTGAAAAATCTCTAACATAAACATTACTATTATAATTACTTGCATTTAGATTAACAACTTTGTAAAGATGGCTTATGGGTTTCAGTAGTCCTGCATATTTTTCCTGGACTTGCATGTTAACAATGTAGAACTTAAAATCTAGCAGACTTGACTTGTATAGCACTGTAAAATTATTAATTGAATGACTGCATGTAGATAATTTTTGTGAAAACATTTCAGTAAGAGAAACTCCATGTATTTCAGGAAATGCTCTCTCTTAGTTCATTCACTATATTTTATAGTTGTTTATTATATTGTTACAATAATCTGGTTCTGCAGGTAACATGGAAATAACTAACCTTGTTTACCTGTAGAAAATGGTATCCAAAAAAGCAAGCATGCCTGTCTGGATTCCCCCCCCCCCCTTTATGCTGAAGAATTACAATGTACCTCTACGATTTATTGATTTAAAAGATTTCTACACTGACTTTCAGGGTGCACCACCAGTGTGAGATAGCTAACAAGACCGCAAAACACGGGAAAGTAGAATTACATGGGCACATGGTGGCATGTATAATTGCTTCAAATACCAAATGCAGATGATTGTGATATTTATATCCTGCCGATCCTCAGAGATTATTCCCAGATCAGAATAAAAGTGTCTTCATTCAGAGCATGAGTCCTCGCACTATGGCCTGCGGGCCAGATACGGCCTGCCACGCCCATTTACCCAGCCCGCCTTTTAGTTATCTGAGCCTGGGGCAGCTGGTCCCGCGCCTGCCACCACCACCTCACCCACACCCGCTGCCTCGCCGTGCCTGTCACAAGTTTCTGTTGTGTTCCCCAAAGCTTATACCCACAAATTGTCTTCCACGGGAGGTGGTTGAGGCGCCATCAGATAGAGCGTTCAAGGAAAGATTGGACAACCACATGTTGGGGATTACACCAGTGGAACTGGTTGGAGCCAGGGGTCAGACTAGATGGCTCAGGACCCCCCTCTGACTCGCTTTGTTTCTATGTTCCTAAATCTTTGTATGACTTATCTATATCCGACAGAGAGCACTTTTCAGCTGGTAATTCCCACCTGCATTTAAATAACTGTTCATTTGTTGTAAGGAAGAGCAGATTAGTTTTACTGTCACATGAGGGGAAGCTAGTTGTTTCTGCTTTTTTTTTTTTTCTTTCTTTCAGAGAACAAGTAAATCTTGTAAAGCCTTTACTGCTGAGGTATATTGTTAATGCCTGTCCGGTGGCTATGAAAATAATTTTAATACATCTGTTTGGAAGCCAACAGTGGATATTAGGACATCTGGAAAAATGTGCTTGATTTTTTGACTGCTTGGTTTTCTTGATACAAAGGAGTTACGTGCCGTGAAAATCTGGCCTTCTGGAAATACAGTTATCTATTTTTAGATAGGTGACTGGCATACTTTTATTATATTGCCTGGTTATCTTACTCTCTCAATATTCCTTCCTCCACTAATAAAATATCAGTGCATGTGCAGATATCTAGCAGTACCCAAGGAGAAGATAGAGTGAATTCTTGTATACTAGGATGGTCCCTGAGGTATACAGGAAAATTTGTCTTCAGGTTTTTTTAATGTGTGTTTTTAATATTCACCTTGGAAGTGAATTTGAAGGGAAACAAATAGCCTAAAGAGTTGGAGGGAGACTGTGATTTATTTATTTGATTGACAAAAGACCATACTAGCATACAGCCATACATGGGTCAGAATAAGCCCTCCTTTGAAACAGCAAAACCTTCAAGCAAATTATGCAGTGTCAGAACTGCTCATATGTATTATCCCTGGCCTGTTTGAGTGAAGCCATTCCTGCTTCCATCCCTAAGCATGGTCAACCATGATGTACCCCAATAGCACTTTAGGTGAGTGGTCTGTTCTCTCCATTACTCTGAGGTGGGCTAGCACACAGTGGGGAGAGAGGATGGCTCTTGCTTAAATTACTCCCTTCCCTGGCTTAAAACTGTGCTGGTAAGCAAAGACTGCCACCTAGTGACTGAACATGGTACTGTAGGCATCAAACACAGAGGTACATTTAAATTGAATTGAACTAATTCATTTTAAAACCAAATAACCCCAGGTTCCATACGTCTAAGATCATATTAGCATTCATGCCAAGTTTCATTCCATTTAGGTTTTATGGACTTGATGCTATAGCATGGACAAGCATGTATAGATGGATTTATTGATCAATCTAACTAGATGCATATATTTTATAGATTAAAATATTTGTAGTCTAACCTTCATCAAAACATACTGGAGTGGTAAGCAAAAGGCATAAAATCAATATAAGTCATAAATGTAGGACAACCTCCTTCATAACCTACCCAGGGAGCCTTATGGCTCATGAGATGGGATAAAAATCTAATAAATAAAATAAAACATCTTTACAATTAAAAACATCGGAGGCATCAAATGCAAAGCAGACTAAAATACAAGCCATGGTTGCACTGTAAGATGCTTCGATGAACAGGTTTTTTAATCTGATGCCAAAATGATAAGAGTATTAGGCCAGACAAAGCTTAAGGAGGAGACTTTTCAAAGATGGAGCCTTTCCACAGAGAACATGTTCTTTCTGGTTCCTACACAGTTTCCTATGGCAAAGGATCCTGGATTAAAACCACCTTTAAAGTAGTGAGTAAAGTAGTAAAGTACTTACCCTGACAATAGGCCACGATGGATTGTCATAAAAACAACCCACTGTGCTCCTACCAAACTGGGGATGTGCAAGGAATTCTTTTAAAGTACAGATTGCCTGGGCTCAGCTCCCCAGATGCCAATCTGCTTTTGCAGTCCTGAGTCCAAATTTTTGACTATGCCCATGTTTATGTGGAGCTCTTTAGGAATGGAGTTCTTCTCGACTACTGTGCGGCATCAGCCTTTGTTTTGCTGTCACATGTGATGCAGAAGAAGATTGTTGCCCAAACTTCATTCCATGAGCATTTGTGGATGACCCTTCTGCTTGGCTTACTTTCTAAGACTGGGCCAAGTATGAAGGAAAGTCCACAAATGCTTGAGGGATGGATTCTGTCAAGGTTCATCTCAACACTAGATTAGCTTACTGTGGGTTGTTTGTTGCTCCCTACCCTATCTTTGTTGGCCCTTTTGTAGGTATACCAGAGGACACAAAGTTTGACCAAGCTGTCTCCCCGCTCCCCAGGATGATCTCAAGCCATTTTGGTTTTGCCACAGCTTTTTCACCAAAGGAACTTACTTTCTTCATATTGCAAAAGCTGGCTGTCAAGCTGATCTTTGCCATCCTCATTTTGGCAGCTATAGATAATTTCTTCAAAGTATGGTAACTTGGAAGGGCTGCTTTTCATTGCCAAGCATTTTTTTAAAATTGTGGTATTTTTTCCTGTCCATGTAGAACTGCAGCCATTCCCATTTGTGTGAGTGGAGGAATGGGGAATTTCAAGTGGGCATTGTGCAGGGATGTGCCTGAGGGCATTGTTCAGCAGGTACCCATGCTGGTGATTGCTTTACAGATTTAGCAGGTAGGTTTATTTTTTGTTTGGTTACCTGACAGAAAAAACAAGTTGTCATTAGGAACCAGAGGTGTGAGTGGCCTTAGCCTATGAAAAAGGCATGGTATATGATTCATTCCCTTCACAAGACCTTCAGAGGGGTTTTCTGGAGGCTGAGGGAAAGGATAAAAAACTTGGAGCAGAGAGGTAGATATACCCTAAAGAAATAAATCTAGGCTTGAACAACAAGCCATCATGTTTAGCAACCATGATGGGTTATTCATAGAATTAGGGAATCATAGAATAGTGAACTCTAGTTGGATTGCTGTATGTAAACCCATTTAGGAAATTTACCAGTTTCCTAGCCATTTGGAAATACTCAACATATATAACTCTTTGTTGGGAGGGTACTAGAACATAGCAACCTGTAGCCAGTTTACTTCTATCCAGAAGCAGTTGTAGTTGGTACTCTGGTTAAAGTCACTCTGCCATTGTGGCTACCTGAGCCTCACCTGGCAGTGCTGGATCTAGAACTACCCCCAAACTGTGTACCTGCTCTTTTGAACAGATGGAGCCTCATCCAGAATACTATCTACCACATAGTCATTTTGTCTTATTACAATTCAGCTAATTCACTCTCACTAATCCAGTACTGACTCCAGCAACCATACAACCTCAGATGTCTTCAGATAACCTAGACAGATTCTACATTTTCCTGTGTGCCAGGCACATTCACACACTTTTCTAGCAAGCGAGAGAAATGCTGGGGAAAATGACAGAGTCCTATTTTGTATTTATTTATTTAGGAGTATGATTAGGTAAACTCTAGCTTACAGCAAGATGCATAATTTGGGAAAGGCTAATTAAACTTCAGGTTTATTTGGTTTAATAGCCCATAGGTCCTATAACATAACTTAAGGATTTAAAAACACATGACAAAAATTTCCCACATCTACAATATAGTTTTTTAAAACTGCTCAGAAGTAGTTTTTATCTTCCAGTAGCAGGAAGGGTTAAATATTTTGACAGCAATTTCTTAAAAAAAATCCTCTCATCTGGCCATAAGAGTCCTTAACTTCATCTAGCCTGCCTTTTCACTTATCCTTTCCCTACGCACTCACTCACAGTGCTCCAAGGAAGGCTAGCAGGGCAGGAGGCTATAGTGTGGAGAAACAAGTATCAAGTATCAAGAAAACAAGTGCAGACTGACTCTTTGGGGGGGAAATGTGTTTCCAGTTTAAATTGTGCATTAAGAATGTCACTCAAGTATCATGAAGTATCTACTAATTATGTGTCTGTGTGTATACAAGTAGCAAGAAAAATAGCTTCACTTGTTTAGTTAGTGACTTGTTTATAAATCATTTCTTACTTTTATTGATCTTAGACATGTTTTCAGTAGGTTTGATCTGAAGCAAGATGGGTTACTATTATTTTTCAATTAAAATCATTATTTTTCTAATTATATATTTAAAGATGTATAGTTCTAGTTACCTAGTAATAATTTATTTCTAGCTTTTATATATATATATATAAAATAAGACTTTTGGAAAGATAAGATGCAAAGGTACTGCAATTAGTGTGTGCCTTATCTGAGAAAAAGAGGCTTTATCTCAAGTGCTATTCAGAAGGCTGTTCAAAAAGTACCTAAACTGCAAGCCCATGTCTTAAGAACTGGCTGCTTGTTATAGGGTGTGCTAAGTTAGTGCATTAAGAGATCTTGTTCTTAAAATTTAAGTTTTTACAAAAGCAGTCTTCTTGTTTGTTGCTTACTACTTGAAGTAGACTCTAAAAAGCAGAGTAACAAACAATATAAGTTAAAGATTTAAGCACCTTGCCTCTGCAGCTGGAATCATTTTTTTTTTAGCATTTATGGGGCTAAAAATGTGATGCTTCAAGGGTTAAACAGAGCACTGAGTATTGACAGTCACAGTTACATGGCTTTAGCTTCTTCTCTCTTTTTCCCTCTTTTTTTTTACTGTAGTCGTGACATGGAGAATAAAGAAACCCCCAGGGGTTTCCAGAAAATGGATGATCGCCCAGAAGAACGCATGATCAGGGAGAAACTCAAGGCAACGTGTATGCCCGCCTGGAAGCATGAATGGCTTGAAAGAAGAAGTAGACGAGGCCCTGTGGTAAGTGATGGTTGGGTAAAGGCACTGTAACTGTTCTTTGCTAAAAGTACAGAATTTGCTTTCTTACATTGCATGACTTTATAGTTATGATCTGAGTATCCTATTTCATTAGAATGCCTCGTGCATCATTTCTGTGAGTTGCTGATTGTGAAGCTTGAAATATCAAATGTCTTAACAGTGTACTGTAAAAGTCAAATTTGTGTCCTGAAAATACTACAACATTGCCCCCTGCTGTTAGCATTTTATATTGAACTCTCTCAGAAGATAGAACTATATTTACAATCATAGCTGGGGGGAAATTATACAATCAAAATATGCCAGACAACATTTTAATACTAGTATATTAAGAGCTTACCTGTAGCTAAACCCAGTGCAATTGGAGAAACAAAGATGAGGCGAGGTCTACAAGTTTTGCAACACAAGGGGAACAAACAGAAGGAAGAGTACAAGAGGAGATATTCCCTGCTTTATCTGTCTTTCTACAAAAATCCAGTTGGATAATTAAGGCATTGATCCGTAGAACTGGGCAGCTAATGAAATACCAATGACAATTTGGGCTAGCATTCTTATACTGTAGCCAACCTTAGCAATTTTTCTAAAAAATTCTATGTCATCAGCAACTATCAAAAAATCAAATTATAATGAGCATGTAAGCTTCTCCAAAAGTTTGAAGCCCTTCCAGACTATTTTTAGCCTAATATTGACAGTTACAGTGCAGCTTTCTTTTAGTTACAGTGCAGACCTCATATTCCCAGACTAGATAATGCATACTACATATTATCCATATGAGCTCTGACAAGTTTTCATGAGAGAAGCTAGTTAGCATTAATACGGACTGCAACTAGGTTTGCATGAATCATCTGCACATACTCATTTGACTTGAAATAGATTCCCGTGAGCATCAAGGGAAACTGACAGGATTTGATATGATGAGAATCAAATAAATGTATTGGATTTCTTTCTTTAAGAAGATAGTTAGGTAACCATAAATCATTTCATATCTTTCTTACAAGGTGGTAAAGCCAATACCGATAAAAGGAGATGGTTGTGAAGCAAACAAACCTACAGTAGAACCTCCTCCAGAAGGACAAACATGTGCTACTTCACCTACTCAGAAGGGGAGACGGAGCCCTTCTCCTAGTAGTTCCTCCTCATTCTCTTCTAGAACTGTTAAATCTGAATCTCCTGGTGTAAGAAGGAAAAGGGTATCGCCTGTGCCTGTAAGTGGAAAGCTCTTATGTAACTACTGATACAATTTAAGGCCATGATAATTTAAAGTGTCTCTTCTCCAACAATAGTCTGTTCATCCAGCTGAATCTTACAGGTCTCACCACCATTGGAAATTTAGGTTGGGGTAACATGAGTGGAACTTCTCTATTGTTATGTGTAGGCTCAGGGAAGTAATCTGGTTCCTCTGTGATTAGATTGTTGTTGTTATTTTTTTAAGACTTTAATCTCTACAGTGTAAGCCTTTTCAGTCCAAAGCAGAAAGATGTATAAATGTGGTTTTAGTTAGACAAAACCAACACAGACAATTATATTTTTGAAGATCTTTGGTGGGAGAGGTGACAGTATTTAAGAAATATTAAAATACTGTCCATAACTACTATTTCATAAGGATAAATTCCTCCTCTGTAAGACAAAGGCAGTGACAAATTGTATGTATAGATTAGAGGGGAGAAGTTGGGAACTGGTACCAAAATTCTTGAAAATGTAATGGAAGATATTGATTTAAGTTTCAGAGTGGACGAATAACACCTCCACGAAGAGCTCCATCTCCAGATGGCTTCTCACCATATAGTCCTGAAGAAACAAATCGGCGAGTCAACAAAGTAATGAGAGCCAGATTGTACCTCTTACAGCAAATAGGACCTAATTCTTTCTTGATAGGAGGAGACAGCCCAGATAATAAATACAGAGTATTTATTGGTCCTCAGGTATGAACAGCATACAGTATGCCTATTTTATTGTTATGCATGCAGTGAATAAATTCAAAAGAATTAAGTGATTATGATATCAAATTTAAGCATACACTCTACTACAACCTTCTAAAGTATAAAATGGTTAATAGCTGAAAAGGTACTGAAAGATAACTACTTCCTATGGGCTTTTTGGGCATATTTTTCCCATTTCAATGAATATTAGCTGAGGGCATTAGCAAAATCTCAGTTAAGCATAAACAGCCGTATTTGCTTATTATATATAAAAACAATGTGTTCCATTTACTGTGCCAAAATTACTGAAGCAAAAGCTACCAGAAGAAAGCCATTGCCATGCACAGATTTCTTTTTCCAAAAATTGGGGGGGGGGGGATTACAGAAGCCGTAATAAAAACAGAAAACATTTTTGTGTTTACAGACCTGCAGCTGTGGACGTGGCACATTTTGCATTCATCTGCTGTTTGTTATGCTTCGAGTTTTCCAGCTTGAATCTTCAGATCCAATGCTTTGGCGAAAGACCTTGAAGAACTTTGAGGTAGTGCCATCCTTTCTCTTTCCACATAGGCCATATTCTTAGGCCATAGCTGAAATTTATCATTGTTGAAATTAAATATGTAGTAACAGTAGTATTACTGTAATTTCTAAAATATCCTAACACTTCTAAAAAGCTTCTTTGCGGGGTGGAGGAAGGAGGTTGTTGATATCTAAAAGCTTCTACAGCTGACCAACATCAACTGGATTGATGGGGTCCATTAGATAATTTTCCATTAGAGGTCTTCCAGTTTAATAGCTAGAGGTTCGTACATACTTATCAGGGTTCATCATCAAATCACTGTTAAGAGCTTAGGAGGAGAAGTAGATTGCTGTGTTTCTTCCTTATATCCCTCCTTTGTTATCTTAACTACATCAGAAATTATATTTACCTGTGATTAAGACAAACCAGATTCTACAAATCTTAACCTTTTTAGCCTTAACTAAGGTTAAATTGATAACTGAGGTGATATATCTCTTAACCATAGCAAGGTTTTCCACCAAGGCTAAGAACAATATTACAGCCTCTTCACCTCAGTCAAGAGATCAAGCCTGTTGCACGTGTTCTTACACAGATGTGAAAGCATGAGAATAATGCACATAAAACTAGAAACACTGTTAGGAAAACATGACATCAGCATCCTTTCTGCTGTTATTTACCCATTTTTCCAGTTTCTGGCAGCAATGTAGATAAAATGCAGAGGTGCCATTGTCTATTGCCAAATCATGGAGGTTTGGCCATCTAGATTTATCTAACAGGGATCTGTACAACATTCAGGGTTTGGATCTAGACTTAGTTGTTTTTAGAGTAGTCATGAATAACTTGTCCCTCTGATACTGATTTATTGTTGTAAGCTACCCCGAGGCTTTGGCGAGTGGGGCGGCATAGAAGCTTTCTAAATAAATAAATAAATAAATAAATAAAATACCAGTGGATCTGCTCTGATTATGACCAAGCCTAGATCCAACCCAGAATCAATGCTCACATGTCTTAAGTGAGTTGTTTTGGTCTTTGAGTAGGAGGTACATAAAACAAAACACTGACTGTTTAAAAACTGAATCCATCCCTTATTGCTTGTGGTGGTCACAAATTTGTTTTGTGTTTATTTTTTTATTTATATAAAGAAGTACCAATACTATTGTGACTGGATCATTATTACGTTATAGAATAATTGCAATTAAATCTTTATTTAAAAGATAACAGTTTTGAGGAACTGATAGCATAATAGCTATTGTTAACATTTTTTTCCAATGTTAGGTTGAGAGTTTGTTCCAGAAATATCACAGTAGGCGTAGCTCAAGGATCAAAGCCCCATCTCGTAACACCATCCAGAAGTTTGTCTCACGCATGTCAAATTCTCATACATTGTCATCATCTAGTACGTCTACATCTAGTTCAGAAAACAGGTTAGTAATTCTTCTAAAGAAAATACGTAGTGCTAACCCCTCCTCCCCACCTTTTAGTTAAGATTTTATTTTCTTTTGTCAATCCCCTAATAGAGGGATAGCTGTGTTACTTTATTGCAGCAAAACTGGCACAAGGCTTTTTGTTACCTTCTGTACAAGGTGACCTACATTAACAAAGGTTCTGTTTTTTATTTTTCTTTGATTGGATGCGTCGAGCATGATTTTTGTTTGTTCTTTTAGCCTTTTCCAGCTAGCTAGGTCTAATAAAGAAGCTCACTGATAACAGGAATTTGTTGCTCTCTTATGGCAGGCATTTTCTCTAACGTCTTTAGTATATATTAGGTATGTTATACATGAATCATGAACTCTCTTGAGGCCAGATTTTGAGGGTATGCAGGTAACTGCATTTGGTCCCTCTTCCACTGACCAAAGTTTGTCATTTTGAAGTACTTCATTGGATATTCCCTATACTTGGATATACTCTAAAATAAATTGTAGATGGGAAAGTAGTTTCAGTTAGGGATGAGGAATAGGGGGCTAAACAGAGGATTTTGTGGAAATACTAGCATTCTAAGGGAGAAAGATGGATGGGGGCTTGAAGAGATTCTGAAGCATAACAATGTTCATGTGTGGAAGGATCTGACTATATCAGAAACACTCAATGGGCCTGCAGATTCATATAAAAATGTCACAGTGTAGTAACTAACATTCCTTTTAGAAAGTTAGACCTTCTTTATATATTCTTGAAGAATTATGCATTTCTAAATATAATTCATTCAAAACATGCATATATATCTGATATATGTACATTTCTGTATATATATACAAATGTACACTTGCATATATGTACAAATGTACATATATATACTATATGACATTTTATATTTTAGGTAGTTCAGAGAAACAGTTCAAATGTAAATTCTGTTCTTAAATATCGACAGTTCATTATATCACTTTGAAGTTGGCAGCATTGAATATATAATATTTGTGTATGGCTTTTCTGGTGGTTGAACCATCTGTTATCTGGCTCTAAACATCCAAATGCATTTGTGCCCTCAAGATTTAGAAAGCAAAGTTCTGTAGCAAATCATGTCCTACTTCTGAGCTATACTATTGATAGTGTTTGCAGGAACTTAGTCTATTAACTTCGTTGCTAATCACTACTTGACATAACTGGAGGACTTCATTATCTGGAGGACTTCATTATCTGCATTGTCACTATATTGTGGATTTCTCCCCAGTCTTTAAGTCAAAAAAGCAAGAATTTATCTTGATGGTAGATTGGCCAGGTTTATAATGCTACTATAGGATCTTTAGAAGTGCTTCCCATTAGCTTTTTCACATGCCACTCCATTTACTTCTAGTAGGAAAACCATGGAATTTTTCCATCTGAGTCTTCCTAGTGTGAAAAGAAACCATATCCACAGCTGCTTCACTATTTCCTGTAGCAACCTAAATCTGTCCTAGTGATTATTATATAACCTGCTTCAGCTGTTGATCTTATACATTTAATACACCGAAACTTTTGTATGCAGAAATGTGTATCGTTATGTAATAAATAGGGTAGATCTGGATGATTTTCATTTCTTGTACATGTATTTATATACAACCCCTGAGATGTTAGTGGCATCTGAATGTTTATAAGTCTGTAAACCCTCTCTAGAGAAGTATTTCTTTGAAATTTTTCAAGTTGCTTTAGCCTACTGGCTTTTCCACACCACTGCTTTAACAAGTAATGCAGCTAATCATAATAAGTTCCATGCCAGTGTGGCACAAATCCTGGAATTGGCTGCTGTTGAAGAAACATATGATGAAATGTGCAAAACATCATAACATTATGCACAAAGGCATAATGTGCAGCCTACTTTGAGCAGTAATCTGTGGGATAAAGGTGGTATGTAAACAAGCATTCATAGTAGGTGTAGAAAATTGCATGGTCAACTGAATGTTAATGTTCTGTTACTTACAGTGTGATAGAATGCACCCCATATCGGGGACCTATTCCTTAGTCCAGGGGTCCACAGACTTTTTAAACAGGGGGCCAGTTCACTGTTCCTCAGACTGTTGGGGGGCCATACCATAGTTTAAAAAAATGTGAATGAATTCCTATGCACACTGCACATTAAAATTTAATTAAAATTAAAATCTAGAAAAATAATTAAAAATTAATTAAAATTTAAAAAATAATTAAAAATTAAAAAATGTTTGCTCTGCTCCCTTGGGCTACAGCAGAAGCTCAAGATGAGGTGGGGAAGAGCATGTCCATATTCAAGGGACATAGCTACAGTGTTCGTGATTGTGCTGGGGGGGAGAAGACGGGCATGATCATGCTGGGGGGGATGATGGGTGTGATCGTGGGCACCCTCGGGGGGGAGACTGGCACAATCGCGGGCGTGCTCGGGGGGAGATGGGCATGCTCACGGGTGTGCTTGTGCGGGGAAGGCAGACGTGCCTGCGGCCATGTCTGCTCCCCAAGCACGACCACGATTGCACCTGCCTTCCTTGCATGAGCATGCCTGCCATCATGGCCATCTCCCCTCTGAGTACGCCTGCACCGGCTCAGAGCTTTTGGACTTGCTCGGAGATCGTTTTCTCCGAGCGGGTTCAAAAGCTCTGAGGCAGGCTGGATAAATCAGCATGGCGGCCTGGATGCGTCCCGCGGGCCATAGTTTGAGGACCCATGCCTTAGTCTGATTGAGCGATATAAATGTAAATAAATCTTAAGGATCTATGATACTGTTTTTAACATTGGTAAACTTTTTTAATAGTATCAAGGATGAAGAAGAACAGATGTGCCCCATTTGTTTGCTAGGCATGTTGGATGAAGAGAGCTTGACTGTCTGTGAAGATGGTTGCAGAAATAAACTTCACCACCACTGCATGTCAATATGTACGTAATTTATAATGCCAAATGGGTACTTGACCATAGGAGTGGCCATTTTCACTTTAAAGAATAAATAATGACAACTTAGGTCCTTGCCAGCTTTGAGAAAGCAAGATGATAAGAACAATAAGTGGTGTTATAAAAGATATTCCTCCATTAATATTCAGAAATTATTTGTGAAAAGATTATTCATTAACTGGAATCTATTGGAATGAAGTAAATGAGAAGACATTTCCTCATGGAAATGTAATGATGTTATGCTTTAGAGTTTAGGTAAGAAAGATAATAGATATAAGAACTCATGGTAGATTTTATTTCTTTTTTGAAAGAATGAACAAATGCAAGGGAAGCAAATAGTTACAAATATGAATGTTTGTAAGATTTACACAGTTAACTTGGATGGAAAAGTTCATATTGACCTAGACAATATTGTGATAACAGCACCAATTTGACTGTGTAAATGTATCAAGTACATTGAGTAGCCTTTGATTTCTTGTTTCAACTATGGGATTATGATAGTACAATACACAGAGAGAGTTTTTAAAGCTGTTATAGGAAATAACAGAATATGCTAAACAATCCTCCACTGTAGAGGAAAATGGCAAAGTACTCATGCTGTAACTGACTACATATACTATTCAACTGTATTTGTCCAGTCTATAAATAAAGATATAATTGGCTTTTCATATGTACATTTACTGTTTACTCATACTTTCTACATGCACTTACCAAAGTTATACCTTTCACTAAAATTGTGTTATGTTACTAACTTTATTTATTTTCTTCTCTCTTACATTGCTGCGATGTTAGGGGCAGAGGAATGCAGGAGAAACCGAGAACCTCTTATATGTCCTCTTTGTAGATCTAAGTGGAGATCTAATGATTTCTATGGGTAAGGATTTGTTTAATTTGAATTTGTTGGAGCATATGTGGTCTAGTGGTTGCGGTGAGCTGGGATTCAGAAGGTCTGGATTGTAGTCCCCACTCAGCCATAAATCTCACAGGGTGACTTCAGGCCAGTCACTGGCTCTCAGCCTAATCTAACTCACAGGTCTGCTGTGATAAAATGGGGAGAAGTCAAGCTATGTAAGCTGTTTTGGTTTCCTTACAAATACTTGTAAGAGATAAAACATTTTATATATGTTTTTAAGCTGAGAACCTTATTGCAAAATTTGAAATTCAAAACCCAAAGGATATCCCTGAACATGCTCAGAATATGCAAATATTAACTCTTTGCCTATATTCTACCTATATTCTATGCTATGCAGCTGTATTTTGTGATAATGTTGTAAGCCACTCATAGAACTTTGTCTTTTGGGCAGTGTACGTAGAAATAAAATTAATAATAATAATTTGTTTCTTTATAGTCATGAATTGCCAAGCCCTGTTGATTCCCCTTCTGTTCTCTGTGTGGTGCAGCAGCAAACTCAGCAGCCTATAGCTGCCTCACCACGAAGGAGTCAAGATAGTAATTTTAACCTTACTCATTATGGGGTTCAGCAAATCCCTTCTGCCTACAAAGACTTAGCTGAGCCATGGATTCAGGTTTGTCACATTTCTAAAGGCACTTAATTAAAACTACTTGGTTTTTAAGCTTCTGTAACAGGTTCTGCTTTGCTTTACTGTGAAGAGCACGGTTGGCTATGTTGCGCAAAGGAATAAATATGTGGGTGTGTGTCTAGTTTTCTGGTGACTTCAAGCTTCATGGTTTGGGTGGCTGCCATTCCTATTTTGGGGGTAAAATGCTCTTATGTGGGCCGACTCTAACACAGTAGCACCCTGACTTTGTAATACCCTTTCTGGCCACATTTATCAGGTGCCTATTTGCTTTTAATCACCAGTTTAAAACATCTCTATTTGCTTAAGTTTGGGCAGTACTTAAAAAGCTTTTTCCCTAAGTCACTTGGATTTGTTTTCTGGTTTGCTTTTGTAATTATTAGAAATCATATTTAAATATTATGAGCTTCCCGTACCTTGTAGAAAGAAGAAATATAAACTTTAAAAAATCAGTAAGAACTTATTTGGCTGTTGTACATGGACTGGGGCTATGCCACAACCTCCATGTACCTCTCTTTGCCAATATTGGACCCTTTGTCTAATTCTGGCAACCTAGAGCATGATCATAGGTTTGGACTGTGGAAAACTTCAAAAGATGTTAAACTTGAGTGTGCTCTACAACTCATTCAAAGTACTTGCCATAAATTCCAAACTGTACCCTGGAAGTTCATTCTCTTCATCTCTTAGAACTGTATGTCAATGAAAAACAACAAATGGGAGCAAAATCCTGGGGTGCATTCAGGAATTCAGCAGAAATTTACAGTTTTTGCTGCTTTGCTCCAGCAGAGTGTCCATGTTTAAACTAAGGGGAAAGAGAAGCAGTACAGTGCTCTGTACTGACAAAGTCTACCGTGTATGTTAGCCCGTGGAAGAATCTGCTTATAAACAAAAAGTGAAGGCTAGCTTCAGTTTGGGTTCATATAGACTTGGGATTTTAGGTGCTGACAAATGAGAGCTCAGAAACAGAGCCATCCCAGCTTATCACTTAGTTTAAAAAATGCCAAAAGGAATTCAGCCCTTCCAAATTACATCAGTTCCCAAATCACCTACTTCTTGTCTGTTGCCCCCTCCAATGATCCATTGCCTATTCTCCCCTTCCCTGACTAGGAAGTTTCCATAGATGATTGTTCTCTCTCCTGAATAAAGTATTTCTAGGTTTTAGAGCAGGGGTCTCAAACTCGCGGCCCGCGGGCCAATTGCCGGGAGGGGCAGGGCACGGGGGAGGGGCCCTGTGGCCTTCAAAGCGCCGGCGGCGCCCGGCCGGCCTCCGGGAGCGACGCCGGATGAGTGGCTCACCCCCACCGCGGGGGTGGAATACTTGATGCGGCCCAGCCTCACCCAGCCTCTACTTCCAGCGGCCCCCAGGTCAGTTGAGTTTCAGACCCCTGCTCTAGAGGAATCAATTCACATTCATTGGTAGCTAGTGTAGTGTCACAGCTTCCCTTGCTTTTCAAATGAGGCCCTCTAATCAGATTGACTGTGGCAGGTTGGCCAACTTACCTAGGGCTATATGAGGAGGCAAGGTTGTGAGGAAGCCCGCTTCCAAACATGAGGAGCCACAGTGACAAAGCATCAGTACACAAGTAAGATAACCAGCTGTGCAAGTTTGACAACCGGGCAAGGAGGCCAGCAGTGAACCTTTTTCTCCCTTCTCCTAATAAGGAATTGGAAGCTGTAAATGAAAAAATTCAAGTAAATTCCTCACTTTCTCCTAGTAGACAGCTTAGTTTACCAGGTTAAGAAACTCACTAATACCAATTAAGCAACAACCTAGTTATGGACCCCCAACTGAGCCCTGGGGGCTGTCCAGTGTATTGTACTGTATATATGACTGTCTGCCAGCTCAATAGAAGTCCTGAGTGTGTGCTAAGCATAATGAGTTCCTGGTACTCATAGAACAAGTTCATTCCATTGAAACTAAGGGCCCAGAGCATGGGCAGCTGGGTAACAGATAATGCACCAGGACCCAGGAAACAAGGCAAGGTGTTCAAAGCCAGAATCCAGTCACCAGTCCAAGTCACAAGTCCAAATTGCAAACAGGCTAAAGTCAAATCAGGAATCTGTTGTAGCACAGTCCAGGAACAGGGGGATAGTCAAACACAAGCCAGAAATCAAGAACAAGTGAAACAGTGTGAAGGAACAGGTATCTTGGATCTTTAAAAAGAGTTGGACACATTCATGGAGGAGAAGGCTATCAGTCATGACTTACTTCTGATAGCTGAATGCTGACTGTCTTACTAGAGGCAGTATGCCTACGTGCACCAGTTTCTGGGGAACTTGGGCAAGAGGGTACAGTTTCACTCATGTCCTGCTTGTGGGATCCTGCGGGCAACCGGTTTGCCACTGTGAACAGAATGTTGGACTAGATAGACCCTTGGTCAGATCTAGTACAGCTTTTCTTAAGTACTTGTGTATACTTCCTTTTGTCACTAAATAATGCCTGATGCATATATTTGTTTTCATACTGGTATGGTACTAAATAGCCTATATCACTTCAGTGTTCACATAGAACATGTGTATTTCAATTTGAATATCTGAGTAAATTGCTGACAAGGAACATCTAAATGGCATAACTTTTATATTCTAGGTATTTGGAATGGAATTAGTTGGCTGCTTGTTTTCTCGAAACTGGAATATACGTGAGATGGCCCTTAGACGTCTCTCCCATGATGTTAGTGGTGCTCTTTTATTGGCTAATGGTGAAAGCACTGGAAACTCTGGAAGCAACAGTGGAAACACCACAAATGCTGGAAATCTGGGAGCAGCTAGTGGATCATCACAGACCAGTATCTCAGGAGATGTTGTTGTGGAGTCCTGCTGCAGTGTACTTTCCATGGTTTGTGCTGACCCTGTCTACAAAGTGTATATTGCTGCTTTAGTAAGTAACTTGTTCTTTTCTAATACAGAATTTCCAACACATTTTAGAGAAAGAAAAGCACTATTTAAGTAATCACCAGAGACCTAGAATGTATGAGATGATGGCAGAATGGCTCAAGCATTTGGATACGTGCCAAGAAACAAACAGGCAAGGCTCTCACCTGTATCTTCACCAAGAGCCAGAACTCAAATAGCATGAATAATGTGTATTATTGATTTCCCCCTCCTTTGTTTTGTTTGGTGGGGAGGGGATGGGGAGATAAATCATGTGAATAACCTTGGTGGAGTCCAGCTTTTGCATGGTAGCTTTGGTGCTCATGAATGCCTTCTATGCCTGGTGGAAGACGGGCTTGTGTTAGTTCCCCAGACTGTTCCAGTGCCAGCTGCTAGTGAATATCTGGATTGAAAATTAGTTAAGTAAAAACTTCAGGACATGATTGTTTGTGCCTTCATGTTATTGGTATAGCATTTGAAATTTTTTATTCTTTGAAGTATTGGTGCAACGAGTTCCTCAAGTAGACACACTTGAGATGACCAGTATGCTAACTTTAGACTAGATATGCAAGTGTATGATGAATGTTACCTCTTGCTGTTTACTGCAGGTATTCCCGTCCTGGATTTGTACTGCCTAGCTCTTTTTTTTTTTTTTGGGTGGGGGGGGGGGGGTGTCAATTAAAAAAATTGGAAGACTGGGATAGGCTTTGTATCTTCTTAACAATGTTAATAACTCTGCTATTAGCATGAGTGAAATGAATGATGGCTTTCTCTTCATGATCAGTTACTATTTGGCCCATCACTCTATGTGCTATCCTGTATACATTTTATAAATTTTAAATAAAATTTCATTTTTTTGGTGCCTGAGAAGGTAACAGATTTGTAGGCAGGATATTATTTGATTAGATTGTTTGTTTCCTGTAATAAATGTATTGTTGTAAATCTCTAGTCTTGCTGCAACAGCCTAACTACTGTTACTCTTCTAGATACAGTTTTTGAATTGGTTTTAAACACATCTTTTCCTTTCTTCCTTAGAAAACATTAAGAGCCATGCTGGTATATACCCCCTGTCATAGCTTGGCAGAGAGAGCAAAATTGCAACAACTTCTAAAACCAGTTGTGGAAACTATATTGGTGAAATGTGCAGATGCCAACAGGTATAGCATTTAAATTTTGCAAGCTTTATATTCAGAATGGGAGGGTCTCTTAAAAGACAAGGGGCACATTTGTGAGGAAAAGACTTGAAGCCATCGGCGCATGTACATACTGTTCTGTACAATAAGTGATGTTTATCCTGGAAACATGAAATTGATAACCAAAATAATCACTAGTAGCTCTTAAAATTATTTAGCTAGTTATTGACCTTGTTCACTTGACATGGCTGGCTCAGTGCATGCTATTTAATCCATGAGAAGTTTCAAAATATTCCAGGTATATGCAGCTACACGTTTGAATGTACAGTGCTCAAACAGGGTGATCAGGAACCTTGCGCATGTCATGTGAATCTGGCCATTGTGATTATTTGAGGAATTAGTAACCCTCACATAATTCTTGATTAATAGTAAGGTTGTGTGGTATTAATATGTTGGATCTCATATTTTCCACAATAAATACTTATATTGCAAAAGGAAAAAACCCCTGTGCAGATGTTCAAATTTTCCATATCACAAATGGTTTGCGATGGAATTTGTCTTTGCAGTTGTTTGTCTTGCACATTATCAACTATGTCAGTATTCCAGAGTGGATGTACATTGTAAAGGCACAATGACACACATAAGCTTCATAGACTTTGTGCAGTCCCACATAAGAGTGTGCAGTGTGCATGAACAGTCACAGCATCTTTTCTGGCCCTGCCAGTGGTTCTCCTTAGAGCCTGAGCTTTGCTGGGTATCATTCTGCCTTCTTTTATCTGTCTCAGCATCAGACAGTCATCTAAGATGGAGAATCAGATATTCCCCAATGTGTTTCAATTCTAAACAGACCCAAAGTAGGTACCAGGCTGCCTTGACGAGGTTGGTTCTCCCAAACCCAGTGCAGCTTGTTAAGAAAGGAAAATTAAAACATCAGACCACAGAATCAGTGAATAAATTTGCTGCTGGACTTGGCAGGCAGACTAGATCACACAATACTAAACAAGTTGATTCTAGAGAAGGGACTTTTAAAATCATCTGTTACTCTGAGCAAAGGAAAAAGTTAGCATCTAATTTGCAGCATTACTTCTGGAAGTTGAATGTGAAGGTAACAACCAGAGTCAACAGCACTTGTTCAGCATCCTCAACACTTTACTCCATAAGCAAAACTCAGATCCAGTAAAATCTTCAAAACTGTAGCTCAAGCCATGTATTACTTTTTAAAATATATATATATATATTAACAGAAATACTTGAAAATGAGTAAAGAAGTTAGTGAAGTCTGAAGTTCTTCTACAAGAGATAGTGATGGCCACCAATTTGGATGGTTTTAGGAGGGGATTGGACATATGCATGGATATGGCTACTAGTTCCAATGGCTATATATCACCTCCAGTATTAGTGGCAGTGTGTCTGTGTATACCACTGCTGGGAAACATAGGTGAGAGAGTGTTTTATATTCATGTCCATTTTGTGGATTTCCCATGGGCAGTTGGCTGGCCACTGTGCTGGACTAGATGGACCCTTGGCCTGATCCAGCATGGCTCTTCTTAGGTTCTAAAAATTGTTCCTATTGAGAAATGTTCTTGATGAAAACACTGTGGCAGTTTCTTTACATATAAATGTATAGCTATACTTGCAAAATAAGCTAATAAAAGACTTCTGTTTTTGACTCTTTATAGTCGCACAAGCCAGCTTTCAGTTTCAACGCTTTTGGAAATGTGCAAAGGCCAGGCAGGAGAGCTGGCAGTTGGTAGAGAAATACTTAAATCTGGTAAAACTTCATTTTATGTTTATATTATATGACATTTTTCAGTGGATCTGGTGCTTTACAGAGAGCCTCTTCTTTCCTTCTATTAAAATTTTAGGTGGTGGGCTTTTTGGGTGATAGCAGCAAGGGATGACTGTGTGCAGGTGTGGTTACATACACATGGGCTTTAATTTGGTTGGTATGGGGTCTGAAGAATAATACCAAAGGCTTTTAGGACCTGGGTTTTGAACAGAAATTTGAAGGCTAGGATCTACAGTTCTCTGAAAACATGATTAGTCATTTTACTTCTTAGAAAAGTATTTGTAAAACTTCAGTTGATTCCATTTGAAAGTACAAAGCGAAATGTATAGGTAGCTGCCCTATACTGAGTCAGATCATTGGTCCATCTAGCCCAGTACTGTCAAAACTGACTGGCAGTGGCTCTGCAGATTTCCCAGCCCTGCCTGGAGAAGCCAGGGATTCATCCTGGAACCTTCTGTATGGAAAGCATGTGTTCTGTTACCGCAATTGGCTCTTCACCACTCGAGTGATAGCATTTGCCATGCCACTATTTAGCTCATCTAATTGTGGTGCTTATTTTTCCTCCAGTGACACATTTAAATGTTCACTATGACAACTATCATTCTTTTATATATTGTTTTAATAGCACCATGACTTAATTTGTAGGTACTTGGCTGATACGGAGAGAGACCTATCTGTTATCTCCCTTTATCATAGAAAACCTGTTTTCGGTATATATGTCTTACTTTCTTATTTATCCTTTTTTAAAGGGTCCATTGGCATTGGTGGTATTGATTTCGTCTTAAATTGCATCCTTGGAACACAGCCTGAATCCAACAACTGGCAAGCACTGCTTGGACGTCTTTGTCTTATAGACAGACTGCTATTGGAGTTTCCTGCTGAATTTTACCCCCACATTATCAGTGGAGATGTTTTGCAGGCAGACACTGTAGTAGACAGGTACTACTTTAGAAAATAATGCCTCTTTTGTTGGAAGTTTTTTTCACGTATCAAAGTTCAAGTGATTAAAAAATGAAAATCATACATCAAAAAGATATTTGGGAGGAAACTTGCGGTGAAGACCTTCTGCTTTTATTTCTTAATATACCTCTCGTAAGATAAATTGACACTGTGTTTTATATTACTTTTAGGTACAAAAAGCTACTGTCATTGTTGAGCTTTGCTCTACAATCAATCGACAACTCCCACTCAATGGTTGGCAAACTGTCTCGGAGGGTATTTTTAAGTGCTGCCAGAATGGTTGCAAGAGTACCCTATGTGTTTGTAAAACTGTTAGAAATGTTGAGTATGACAAGCTCTACACATCATACAAGAATGCGTCGGCGGTTGATGGCTATAGCAGATGAAATGGAAATTGCGGAAGCCATTCAGCTAGGTATGGAGGAGATGCATTCCAGTGAATGCAGGCGTGAATTTGCACAGCCTCCAGTTCCTGATAACTCTCCAGAATCAACAGAGAGCAATACTCCAAATAACACAATCCATTTATCAGGGAAAAAGGGGAAAGGTATGGGTGATAAAAAAACAAGTGCCAGTCCAGAGGACATTTCTGACACAGTGGCTGGTATTTCCTTGGGACTTCCTGCTTCTTCAGGAGCAATTGAACAACCAAAGCCAGCCATTCAGACAAAAGGCAGACCCCATGGTCAGTGCTTGAACTCTTCAATCTCATCCTGTCATTCCCAGTCAGTATTCCCAATATTGCCTTCTCCCACTACACCACTTCTACCAACAGGAGCGGATATTTCTAAACTTAGACCTCAGGGATTTGTTCCCTGTAAAGTACCCTCTGCTTCTCCACAAATGCAGCGAAAGCTTTCTCTTCAGATTCAAAGAAACTGTGGTGATCATAAAGAACCAGAAAAACTTTCCCCAGTTTTCCCACAGGCCAGGCCTCTGCCATTCAGTCATATACACCGGCCAAAGCCATCTCGGCCTACTCCATGTGACATGACCAAACAGGGAGGAACCTCCAAAAATAGCATGACACTTAATTTAAATGATATATCACAGTGTGATAAAACTAGTAGTGCAGTTATACCAAGTGAAGAAACAGTTTTCACCCCAGTAGAAGAGAAACGTAATCAACTGGATATTAATACGGAGCTCAATTCCAGTATGGAGGACTTACTTGAATCATCAATGCCAACTAGTGATGGAACAGTTACATTCAAGTCCGAAGTGGCAGTTTTGTCTCCTGAACGTGCAGAAAATGATAACACATACAAAGATGATGTAAATCATAATCAAAAATGCAAGGAAAAGATGGAAGCTGAAGAAGAGGAAGCGTTAGCTATTGCCATGGCAATGTCAGCATCTCAGGATGCACTTCCAATAGTTCCTCAATTACAGGTTCAAAATGGGGAAGATATCATAATTATCCAGCAGGATGTGAGTATATTGATTTTTGCATCTTCTTAGACTACATGTATTTATGTTTATATGTTGCATTTCCCATATTGTGATTTGGAAAGCTGAAGCTTAAAAACAGCTTTGAGACTATTTATCTACCTACCTTATTTCTTTACCACCCAATAGCTGCAGCTCTCTGGGTGGTTCACAATAATTTCACAAAAATACACAAACGAGATACAGTAAAAATACAGATACAATAAAATTCCAGTGTACATATTTAAAACAGTTTAAAATTCCAAAATATGGAATATTAAGCAGTTAAATGATGTAAAACAATTTCAGTAAAACTAGGCCTAATTAAAACAGCTGACACAACCCAACATATGCCATGAAATGCCTGAGAATAGAAGGCAGTTTTAAGCTGATGCTAAAAAGATGGGAATGTTATCACCAGTTGGGCCTTGATGAGAAGATCATTCCATAACTGGGGGGCCACCACTGAGAAAGCTCATTAAACTAGTTTGAATAAACTCCCTACCAGTGAAAGCTTGAGAATATTCTGAAAGCTGCTGTTGGAAAGACACATATGTTTCAAAAGTAGAAAGTGTAGAAGAGCTTGGACTTGAGACTCAGTTCTTGAAGCATCTATCTATGTAGCTATTTACATTATCTTTGCACATGTATAATGTGGCTTTGAAAAATAAGCTAAGATTAGGGTGAAAATGTTTGCAAACTACAGCAAATTTGTTTAATGGCCTTGATGAAACTGGTCAAATCTAAAGCTGATTAATGGTTTAATCTTTTATAGTATTGAAAGAAAATAAGTATAGGAAATAGCACGGTATTATTTGTTACTCCTACCTGACAGGAGAGACAAGTATAATGATAACCTCAAGCTTAAATAAGATGATGATGGCAGGGTCAATCCTATTACTAAACACTGTAAACTGCTTTGGAAGTTTTATTTATTCATTTATTTGCCTGAAGAGCAAAATATTTTTCATTACTACAAATAAACACTTTTTAAGAAATTAAGAGGGGCATGCTCCAGTGGAGTGCTCCAAGTAGATAGAAGATAAGATCAGTGTAGTATAATGAATATACAAAAGAACAAAGCAGAAGTAGGATTTGGATTTCTTCAGCTGAAAAACTTTTGCCCAGAAGTGTACTGCAACTATGTTAAGCCTTGATGGTTTTTCCTTCTCTTGCACCAATGGAATGAAGTTGCTTTGAAATAGCAATATGTAATGTTGCTAGTCGCGAAGTCATGTCCGACCCATCGCGACCCCATGGACAACATTCCTGCAGGCCTTCCTGTCCCCCACCACCCCCTGGAGTCCACTTAAGCTCACACCGACTGCTTCAGTGACTCCATCTAGCCACCTCATTCTCTGCCGTCCCCTTCTTCTGTAATATGTAATACCTTGTGCTAATTTAGTAGCCTATATATGTCATATGATTCATTCACAAGATAGTGTACTTTGGATGTAGTCAGAAGTTTCTTGTATTTTTACTGCAGAGGAAAAATAATTTCTGTTTGGTTTTCTGATGGGCCTCAGACAGCCTCCATCATTCAACAGGGTACAAACATTTACCACCAGAAGCCTCCAGTAAAGCATTCCTAAACATCACAAATACTGAAGCAGTCAAAAACATACACAACTAGAACCATTCAAAAGTAGAAAGTAGTAGTACATTTTCTACTTTTAACCCCTCATGAGTTATTTTTAATAGTTGCAGGCGTCTTATTTGATTATTAAATTCTATCTCACATCGTTTAATAAATACTAGTAACATAGAAGAGTTATAAACATAAGCTCATAGCAGTTAAACTGTCTCTAACAATAAATAAGATTGATATTGGAATGATAAAGTTCAGGATTCCATACAAAGACATGGTTTTTCTATGAAAAATCACTTATTAATCATCTCCATGACTCCAATATTATTTAATTTCATCACCAAGCCTATATCCCAAGCCCTTTAACAACAACCATCAATTATTGGAGGGTTTACTTATGTCCACTGATGGCTTATTGCCAAATAGACTGCCATCAGTAAGTGAATAATAATTTCTTCATCTATCAGTTGGACTATATTTTTTAACATACCCAAATAAAAATATCATTAGGTACACCTGAAGTTTTCATAATGTCATCCATTACTATCCTCTAAAAATTTACTATTGGGGTACAATGATCAGGTAGTTTGCAGATATAGCATTTGAAATAGCTAAATATTATCGATATCTGTTCATGGCCACAAGCCATGATGGCTGTATTTTACCACCAGTATCAGTATGGTACTGCCAAGAGTTTGCTATTTTGCTTATGTCTTACATGTGGGCTTCCTATAGGCATCTGCTGTACCACTGTTGGAACAGAATACTGGCCTAGATAGATCATTGGGCTGGTCCAGCAGGGATCTTCTTACATTCTTGTTTCCAGTTGATTTCTCCAAAGATTTCCTTTTGTCCCTTGTCTATTTTTCCTGACTTTGATTTTGCTTGTAAAATTTTTTTTCTCAATTTGCATAAAGCATTTTATTAAATAGATTCCCTGAAAATGAAATGTTAGCTCGATTTAAGTGTTTTAGCAAAATCCTGTAAAGAGCTTCTGAAACAACAGTATGCAATGCTGCTGCTGGGCTAACAGGACATGAAGCAAGAACTGTCACATTTCTTGCATGGGGCAAGTTGGAAAGTTCCTGGAATAGAAGCTTTGTTGCCTTGTCTCATTCCAGGGGTGGTAGCAAGAGTTTCAGTTTGTTTCCTGGCTTGTGCTAGCAGCCATTCCCTCTAGCACAACTTGGTTAGAGCTGTTAGATTTGCCAATATTAGATTCTTCTTTCTGAAAGTATTAAAAAGAAGACAAGTTTCATGTGGCACCCTGCATGCTTTAAGAAATATTAATGTAATTTGTGTATCCTGAAATTCTGAGGATTCAGATCTTTCCTTTAAAAGTATCCTTGTCTTGGATAACGATGTGGGTTTTATGTGTTTCTAGACCACTAATTGTTATTTAATTTGCAGACGCCAGAGACTTTGCCTGGCCATACCAAAGCAAAGCACCATTATAGGGAAGATATTGAATGGCTTAAAGGTCAACAAATTGGTCTTGGTGCCTTTTCTTCATGTTATCAAGCTCAGGATGTTGGAACTGGGACTTTAATGGCAGTGAAGCAGGTAGATATTCCTCTTTAAGCATTAACTTAAAGTAAGGAACATAGAATCAAGGTATGCATACATAACTTAGGCCTAAAAGAAAGCGTTACTGTTTATCTTTTACATAGCATATATACCCCACCCTTCTTCCTCTTTTTGCAAAGAACCCAATGTAAAGTTCTCTTCCTCTCTGTTTTATCCTCACAACAACAACCCTGTGAGATGGATTAGGCTGAAAGTCAGGGACAGGACTCAATTTATAGTCAGGCTGGATACTGTTTTTGGAATGGTGGAAGAAAAAGGGTACAGCATCAAAAGGACAGGATGTCCTTTTGAAGTGCCCTGGTGGAAGGCAAATGCTCAAGCATTCCTCCTTCCCCCCAAGCAAATATTTTTAATGAAGGAGAAATGGATACCCAATGGATTAGGGTTGTTCTGTTTGAAGTCATTTGATTTGCTTTAATTAATTTAATTAAGTGCCCTTGCTGGTCTGCTCTAAGGCCTGGTTTGCCTGATCAGTAGAAGCCTCTAGGAGGATTTGCACAACACAATACAGTGTGTGTTGTTTGTTCAGGGCCCTCCTCCCCTCTCTTCAGTCTTTCTATAGGTATCCCAGTACACCTATCAGGAGCTCTGAGGTGTACTTTCCTCCCTGTGGCTTGAGTGCCAATTAAAAGGGAAAGCATCACAAAAGCTGGCAAAAATCCCAATTTACTCATCATTTCTTCCAGGGTCAGTCAGGATAGTATATTCAATTTTTACACCTCAAATAATTTTCAAATACTTGCCAAGAATAGTTTTAAAAAGAAATCCCAGTTATGCGCAGGTGGCAGTTGGAACCCTGAGGTGGGAATGTGCCTACTCATTTGTGCCCAGTAGGCACTCACCTGTCTACTGCTTGCCTGAGCATGCAGGTGAGTTAATACCCTATCCTACCATCCTTTTGGAGTATCTGTCATCAGTAAGAATGAGCTGTCAGTTGCTGCAAAAGTCCAGTGGGATCGTTGCTTGCAAAAAGCAAGGGCTCAACCCCTCCCCCCTTTTCATCAGGGTTTTTGAGAGCTCATGCCTCTGCAGTACCTCCATTTTGCCACTGTTGCTGAGGTGATACCACCCCAGGACCATGCAAAATGAATGAGGACTTCCTGGGGTGAGGGAGGTGCTTGACAGGATGGAGAATTGCACTGAAATTTGACCTTCTCTTGCTCCCTTTGGCTAAACAGGTGACATATGTAAGGAATACATCATCTGAGCAGGAAGAGGTGGTAGAAGCCCTTAGGGAAGAGATAAGGATGATGAGTCATCTGAATCATCCCAATATTATTCGAATGCTGGGTGCTACATGTGAGAAGAGCAACTACAATCTCTTTATAGAATGGATGGCAGGTATGTATACCCCCTAAACTGTGTGTGTGTCTGTATATTGCACCACGTTTATAAGCCTGTTCAGAATACTGGTCTTAACTTTGAAAGCCCTAAATAACTTGGGACTGGGGTTTTTCAAGGGTACAGTCAGGGGTGGGCAACATGCAACCCTCCAGCTGTTTTGGCCTACAAGTTCCTTCAGTCTTAGCCAGCACAGCCAACAATGAGACACCATGGGAGTTGTCAACCAAAACAGCTGGAAGGCCACGAGTGCCAATCTTTGCTATAAATAAATGATTTGGATTTCATGATGCTAATTCAAGATGATGAATAAAAAATTCAAATTAAAAGGTTAAGCAGAGGCTGTGATCCAGGATATGAAAAGGTGATCACATGAAAGTGAACAGTATATTCATATTTCCATACTCATTCCTATTGTTCATTTTCTCCAGCAAATTGCTATGAAATTGCTGCATGGATGTTAAACTCTAACCATTGCACCAGTCTGCTATCTAAGGAGGGATAATAGCTTCAGCTGTTGTGTATTATAGATAAGCCAAACAGCTGAATGGCACTACTCTTAATTTCCTACATGCAAAGGACCAATTTATACCCATGATTTCTTTGGTAGGGATTCTTTTTCATGGTTTTGCTCCCAGATAGATTGGGAAAATGTACCTGGATTTGTCTGCTCTCACATATTCTGCTATTTGAAGCATTAAGTTACAGGCAAGGGCATGAACTTTTTAAAATGTTTTCATGTTGCTGTTTGTGTTCCAACTATACTGTCTAGAATTTGGAACATTATGATGAGTATAGCTGACTGCTGGCATTAAAGAGCATGCTCAGTTTGCAAAAGATGCCTCTGTGCAGCTTTCCACACCCTATTTGTTCCTACTACCACATTTTAATCAATAAGATCACAAGCATTTTAAGGAAGTTTTGAGGAGAAGGGGTGGGAAAGTCAGTCTGTGCCTGTCCCCTTTTACAGGTGAATATCTGGATCTAGCCACTTAAATCTCAATAGAATATGAGAAGCAACATTATGAAATGTTCTATATTGCAACATTTAACAGTAAGCCTATGAAACAAATTTAATTATCATGGAACAAGATATTTTTTAATATGAGATATTTTATAGTAATCCAAAGGTTCTGACCTAAGCACCAGGCAAAACACACTACTTGTTGCTGTGTTCTAGAACAGAGAGTAGAACATCATTGATGTTTTATTAATCTTAGTATGTCTTTGTGTGCAAAGATGATGAAGGAAACTATAGAAAAATGTGAAAACTATAGTTCACATTTAACTAATATATGGAATTTTGCCATTCTTTCAAGTTAATACTGTAGTTGTAGTTACAACTAGGCACTCTTTTCATTAGTAGTAATGTTAGCTAAAATACACTCTTATTTTGCAGGGGGATCTGTTGCACATTTGTTAAGTAAATATGGAGCTTTTAAAGAATCTGTAGTTGCAAACTACACAGAACAGTTGCTCCGTGGCCTTGCTTACCTTCATGAGAATCAGATCATTCACAGAGATGTCAAAGGTAAGAACATCATTAGTATAGCTGGACATGCACAGGCCAGCCTGACCTGGGCCTTTTAATAGGAAAAGATATTGTTCTTACTTCAACTTTGCTAAGCAGATCTAGTATCACTGTGTATGCAGTAATTATGTGGTTTAAAAATACTCATTTTTCCCATACCTTGGACTAGCTTGAGATGCAGATTGTTAAAAAAAACCCTACTGATTTGATTTGTTCCCCACTTTAAATGCCAGTGGATTACAGACAAAATTAAAATTGAGTAAAACAGTATATTAAATACAATTAAAATGTAGCAAGACCTGAACAGGGGATGGACAGAACATTTTGGAGGGCATTCAGTCATAGGGTTGCCATAAGTTGGAGTCAGAAGAAGAAGAGGAGGTGGCAGAAGGGGCCTGGATATTTGGGGCTTAAGTTCCCCCACTTCTCTCACTCAAAACCTTATCTCAAGACCACTCTTTCCAGGTGCCAAGACAAGCTCTAGGAATAACCAACATGTAGAACTGTTAAGAGAGATATGGGAGAGGAGTTTTTGGAGCCAGGTGAAGCTGGTATGACATTTGACCCCTTGATGGGGTTTTGGGAGAGGAAGACTAGCCAACTAGAGGGTTGGCATACAGATAAAAGGTGGGCTTACTTCCAAAAGGATGGGCTCACACTGACTCAAAAGGAGAGTTCCTGGAAGTATTTTCTAGACTGGGGTCAAAGAACTGCTTTGTCTATACTCCAAGATTTCATTTTGTGGTGACTGAGTTCATTGGGTGTACTTTGGTGAATAAAGAACATTTGCAAAGGAACAGCCTGTTTCCTTGAATGTGTGAAGGGAGGAAAACCTAGTTCACAACATGTGCAGAGTGTAACAGGCCTCTGAGTACCTCTGACAATGAAACAGGTTTCCAGTGTATTGACATTACAAAATCCATGATACAAAAGGCAGTGTGGTATTGTAACTGTGTTCAAAATGTTCCCATGGTGTCTGTAGTAATACTGAAAATGTGAAAGCATGTGGGAGCTTCCAGGCACAATGCAAAGTTCTCCATGGCTTCTGCAAGTCTAGCTACTATTTATGCCTAGGAAGCAGATCACTGACCTGTAATCTCCACTCAGAGCAACAATGAGAAGGTGCATAGCAGGGTATATGTATGTTGGAAGACAGTGCATGAGCTACTGAATGTTCTATGAATAGAGGCCCTGGTTTTCTGTTTGTGGTTTGACAACTGTGAAACAAAAGTAGAAGAAACTTCTACATCTAACTGCTGTTAAAACATGATAATCTATAATGGTTTACATTAAAATTTATTAGAAAATACATTGTGACAATTATACCTGGTTAAATAAACTGAGAGGAAAATGTTTGACTAGAAAAGCATTTCTTTGTTCTATAAGGCTAGAAGTCTTCAGAAATTTTTCTCAGTGTGTGAAAGAAATGCACTTTTGTGTGAAACCTCTACTTTCTGTTTATATGTTTCAGTTTCTGAATTGTCTAAACTTGAATGGAGATTACGTGTACAGTGAAAGAAAATATCCATTATCTTCTGATTGCCAGTGATTTGAGTGTTTACCATATATGACTGTGAGAACCTTTCATTATTGCCATCACCTGATCTCATTTCTTTGGATGTTAACAGGTGCCAACTTGCTAATTGACAGCACAGGTCACAGATTAAGAATTGCTGATTTTGGAGCTGCAGCTAGGTTGGCATCTAAAGGTACTGGTGCTGGAGAGTTTCAAGGACAGTTGTTGGGAACTATTGCATTTATGGCACCTGAGGTAAGAATTCCCCTGTACAACTCTGGTAAAGGATGCACTGCTTGATTTTTATCCTAGGCTTCAACTTCTTGACCTAAAGGAGCATGTGTGAAAAGCAAGTGAGAGAGCTGTATAATTTTTGCCCCGCTTGTCTTTTAAAAGATTCCACAACTTTTTGATATGCCAGCTGGGTGGCAAATGAGTCTTGCTGGATCAGACCAAATGTTCATTGCTCCCCAAATTCTGTTTCTGCCAGTGGTCAATTGGACCAGCTGGCTCTTTCTAAGAAGCTCACAAGCAGAGAATGAAGGCAGCAGCCCTTTCCAACTCTGGCTCCCCAGCAAATGGTATTCAGTGTCATACTGTTGTCGTCTCCAACTTAATGGTGACTTCATGAATGAATGCTCTCCAAAATTTCCTTGAGAGCCCTGCTCAGCTCTTGTAAACACTGTTGTACTTCCTTTGGCCATTGATAAGCTCATCTAATTCCCCCATTACAACAATGTAAGAGCATATGCATCATCTAGGGTAGCGGCTGGGAACTCAGTCCCTGGTGCCAAATTTGGCTGAGTTTTCCTGGATGCCTATGACCCCTTCCCTTGGCCCTGCCTCCTTTACCCCAAATATCAGTTTCTGGCTTTTAGCTTTTGTGCTCCCCCCCGCCCCAAAGGTTGAAATGCCTATTGCACAGCTTAGTTATTGGTGGTTAGATGTTTAAAATTAAGTATCCTGATATTTTTCTATTTTGGTCCTGGTCTCTTCTGTCACTGGAATGAGAGCCTGAGAACTAGTTTCCTCACCTCTGATCTAAAGGCATGCTTGCCTGCATAACCCTTACAGAAGATACATGCTGCTCATTTTTCTGACTATTGTCATAGACATAATCTGAATATGCTCCTGAGAGTGATCCTTGACCGTAGTTGAACGCAACAGCCCAAAGCCAGAGCTTTGCTCATTTCCATATTCAATCAGGAATAAGATACTCTTCTGTATAGCTGTAGTTGACCTGTGCTCTATGTGTTGGGAATGAAGGGGCAGTTGTTCTTGGTGTACACTTCTGGGTCACACTGATCTGGACAGAGGAGGAAGAAGAGGTGACAGAGAAGGCTTGGGAAAGTGGGGCTCCAGACCTTGACATTAGAGAAGCAGAGGGGCTTATTTCAAGACCATTCTCCCAAGTGCTCAGGCAGGCTCTGAGAATAACCAAGATGGAGAGCTATCAGGTGGGGGCACAGGAGAAGACCTCTCAGATGAACCTGGTACATCTCTTGACCCCATGATGCAGCATTGAGAGGAGGCCTAGCCAACTAGAGGGTTGCCATGCCAAACAAAGGCATGCTTGCTTCCAGAAGGCCGTCCCAAAAAGATTGGGCCCAGACATACTCAAAAGTAGGCTTTCTGGAAGTAGTTGCTAGATTGGGGTCAACAGACTGCTCTGTGCATGCTCAGAGATGGTTTCCAAAGTGCATACTGGATATCTTTTGGTGAATAAAGAACATTAGCAAAGGAATGGTCTGTTGTCTGGAATGTGTGAAGGGAGGTCATAATACTGCTTTCGAAGATTTTACCAGCGTGACGCTGTTGTTGCTGGCCAGTCATGTGTGTGATGGTATGTGGGCCATCCTTTAAGAGCAGCAGTTACAACTGAGCAATGTTGCTCTGTGACCCAACACTGATCTAGAAATAGAAACAATGGCAATATACTCTGACTTATTTGTCCTGGTTGCATTTTCTTTCGATACTGTCAAGATATGTTCTGTACTCGCCAGCTGTCCTTTCACAAAGAGTTGCGAAAAATAAAGGATTATATCTTGATGCTGGATCACCAAAGGGCCACAAACACCATACTTCCTCTAAGGAATGTTATTGTGGCCAGCAGATGCATATTATAGGTGATTTTTTTCATATTAAAACAAATATTCAATATTCATGTAGTGATGGTTTTAAACAAGTGTTTCACAGCAAATTGTTATTCAGATAAATTATGCAGTTTACAATTAGAGACAATGTTTAAGGACTTGGCAAAGTCTTTATAGTTGTCTGGCAGCTTAATATTGTGCACATAGGAACACATTTTTGCTATGTATGTTAAAAAAAGAGGTGCCCCATGTCTCAAGACATTTTTTACATACCTCAGTGTGTGCTGAGCAAGTCCATTTTGCTATAACATCTTCAGTAGATATAATAGTAAAATATTTGGTTAGCCTGTTAGGACTCAGCCCAATCAGGATGCCAGTAATCCAGGGATTAGTGGCATGTATGGAGTTAGAGGCACGCAAATGTTGTTGCTGCACAGCTCCCGCCCTGCAACTCAGCTGGGTGGCCGACTTCAGCCGAGCTGCTTGGAAGGGCAAGGAGGCTGAAGTGCCTTCACCATACCTTGTAGCTTGGTGGCAACTGTCTTTCCCCCCCCCCCCCAATCCTCCCCCCCCCCCCCGGTCCCTTGGAGACATGGCCAGAATGGGGTTCTTTCTCTGCTGGCTGTAGGAGTAGTGAGGAGAGGGCACTCTGGTTGCAGAGACCCAGCTATGAGAGTCGATTGATTTTCCAGCCTCATAGCTAGGTCTCTGAAAAATTCTGTTATCGTCAACACAGCCATGGGACTGTGTTTCTTCCTTGTAAACAGCTCACGCTTCCTAAAACATGAACTGAGCTGTTAGTAGAAGATTAATAGACATTAAACTTGTTTGTCTTTGTTTCCCTCAGGTGTTGAGGGGCCAACAGTACGGTAGAAGCTGTGATGTATGGAGTGTTGGTTGCGCTATTATAGAAATGGCTTGTGCTAAACCCCCCTGGAACGCAGAGAAACATTCCAATCATCTTGCTTTGATATTTAAGGTAAGTTGATACTTGAGAGAAAAGCCCATAGTTGGAGTAATCCACTGACAACTTCTACCATATAGCCACCACTGAAATGAATTAGCATTCCCCAAGGATGTTTGTGTAATTTGGCAGTGAGACTTGGGAAGGAAGGAATTTGCAGTAAATCATGCCCTATGGAATTAAAGGAATTATAGAATCCTTTGAATAGCACTGGACTCCGTATTCTTTTAAAAAGACATGCTTAAGGAATTCTTGCAATTTAAAAGCATCCTATCAGTTTCTAAAACATCCTCCACTCACCAACATCCCCATTTTATCAAACTTACCTCTACTGGAGTATTTGTACGTATCATCTCTTAGGAGGAATGCTTTGAGGGACGTTTTTCAGGCCTCTATTTTCATAGATTTATGAATATATTCTGCTGCAAAGTTTTTTGCTTTAAGTAAAATGGAAGGGGTGGGAAGTGGAGAAACAGTAGGACTTCAATGAGGCATAATTAACCCCTGCTTTGCATGCTAATCCAGTTTCTGTGAACCAGATTGGAATAGTGCTGCAGTCTATTAAGTAGCAACAATTCTTTAAGATAATGGATTCTTTAAAATTATGTACAAGTATGAACCAGCTGTCTAGTGTATGTAGATTTTGAATGGATTTATCTAGAAATGATACCCTAGAAGATAAATCAACAAAAACCGAATCAGTATTTAGGAGGCAGTGAAATATTGAGGCCATTCTTAAATGTACATTGAACTACAGGTGCAGTAATTGTTTACATCAGTGTGATCTGAGGTGTTTGCAGAAAGCATCTTCACAGTGCAGACACAAGTCAAGCATTTAGAAATCTGATTTAGCTTCGTGTTACTGTGTATCAAATCATCATACAACATCCTCAAATTATATTTCATCTTTGTAGATTCCAGGGTAGTATACAAAAATATGGTTAAAATCTCATATGTAAAAACAGTCATAAGCAATGATTCAAGGCAGCAATTACATCAGAACAGATAATGCATATCAACTAATTGTAATGCCTGGCCGGGGGGGGGGGGGGGGGGGGCTGCATTTTCTACTGGCACTGAAAGGATAGCAGTTATTAGTAAAAGTCACACCACAGTGGTATTCTATTATGGGGCTATCAGAACAGTGAAGACTGTCTCTCCGTTTGTATAGCGATACTTGGAGAAGACACCCTCCGCTGCCAAATTTGCCTAGAAGCAAATTATACCAATATGAAGAGGTAAAGGCCCTGAATTGGTAATACTTTTGCTGCAGGAACCTCACAGCTCAGATACTGCACACACTTTGTGCTAAACAATACAGTTGGTCTCTTCTGCCATCCTTCTATTTTGATAATGTGGGTATACAGTAAGTTATGAAATAGTTACAAAATAAATCTTAGAATGAGAAGCACAAATAACTCCAACTATAAGTCAGTGTGTGGGGAAATGCAAACATCTGTGTAAGATAAAGGCAAACACATGAAAAGCAGTATACAAGCAACATATACTGCTGTTCACACTTTGTATGTATGTATTGTATGTGGTGTTTATCCTGGGAATAACTTGTATTTTCTGCTTGGTTTGTAGATTGCCAGTGCAACTACAGCTCCATCAATCCCACCACATCTGACTCCAGGCTTAAGGGATGTGGCACTTCGATGTTTGGAGCTTCAACCTCAGGACAGACCCCCAGCAAGGGAGTTGCTAAAACACCCTGTTTTCCGTACTACATGGTAGTTACGTAAAAGTGGGGCTACACTGAACGTGATGCTACTGATTATAGAACAGTGCTGGTCTTCCTGTGCAGTTCTGCACTGCAGCATGCATTAACTGCTCTCTGGCCTTAATTATATGTTTTGAGGACTTGAGGTCAGTAGAGGACCTATACTTAAGTATGTGACCGACAAATCGAGATCTTTACCTAAGCTCAGTATGCAACATTTCACAAATTGTGCAGAAATATGTAAACTGTGCCTTTCTCAAAGATCTGGCTCTTGGTGAGAAGAAAAATAATTCCTCTTTTTAGATCTGCATGATTATTTAGTGGAAGAAGTGATTTTTAAAATTTTTATTTTGGAGCACTTTTTCAGCAATATTAGCAGCTGAGGGGCTCAGGAGCCATTTTAAAACTGCAATCACTGTTCCGTTTCACACCATGCAAACATCAGAAGCTTGGGCTCTACTACCCAGTTTACTTTGTCATCACTTGTCATAGAGAAAGTTTAGTGTTTGTGCATTGTATTTTCACAAAGCTTGTTCAGTGGAAAAAGAAACCTTGGATAGTTATGAAACCATGTTTTGCCTTCCTAAGAGTCACTGACCATGGCAGTTACGGTTCACTGTGCATTTACTTGCTAGTGTTGTAACTTTTCTATAGAAATTACAGTTCTGTGCTTTACATTTTATTGTTTCATATTCAGGGAAAATTATGTTTTAAAACAAACACAGAATAGCTAGAACTAAGGTCAAACTCAAACTTGCTGAAAGGCTTGTTATAAGAGACTGTGATACAGATTGTTTGAAATCTGGAATAAAATTCTGCCTTTGAGTCGGTGACAAGATATGTTGGAAGGGAAAATGCACAATTGTTTGAATAACAGACCTTGCCACCAATGGTCAAATAAACCGTTAGGTTTGGAGCCATTTGTGTTAAAACTCTCATTGTAAAACTGTGTAGAAAGTGTAATGTGTCATGCCTGCTGCCACCCAGCTTCCATTCTAGTCAGCTTGTGATGGGAGCCAAAGCTTTACATCCAGTCTCGCTCTCAATTTAGCACTGTATTCACGTTCCCCATTGTTCCTTTGCCTGCTGTTTTCCTTCTGCCGTACATCATCTGTTTACAATTACAATTGATAATTATGTAATTGGTTGATATTTTAAAAAGGGAAAGAGAACCACTTCATCTCTTTTTTTAAAAAAAAATGTACAGAAAAATGAGCTTGGACTTGAAAAAAACAGCCCTTAAACATAATGTGAAGGAATGCTTCACCAAGAGTGCAAAACTACTTTTTAGCAAATATTTAATTGTATCATGGTTTTAAGGGCAGGCTTTTAGATACTGATGAATGGAGTATTGAAGGAAAATGGCAGCTGTTCTTTTGCTTTTTGGCAAATCTTTTTGAAATAAGTACTGATTGTGTTTAATCAACTTTTGTTAAATAACTGTTCCAAGTTTTAACTCTTCAGAAGCCAGTTGAATTATTAACCGGAAATTGGTTATACTCAAAGACTCAGGACAAACTAAATAAGCTATAATGCTGTACATTTTTAATGGTGTACAACTCACAAATTGGAAGCAAAACAAGTGAGAGGTTTACAGCAATGATCATGCTAGAATTAAATAAAAGCAATGTCATTAAATGTGGATGTGTATTTCTTCTTGAAATGTTACATTCCTTTGCTTTTTAAAGATTGGCAGACTTTGAAGAGTTAAATCGAAATGTGAAGTTTGGTAGTTCTGTTTTTGTATTTGACTTCTATTTCTTGACATTTAGAATTTTTCATTATTCTAATCAGATTGTTTCCAAGTTTCTTGTGTGCAAGCTTTAAAGGATGCACTCTTGCCAATCCATGTACTGGAAGATCTGTTGTCAGATTAATGCCATTTCTGACAAAAATGTCAATTGTATAAACTGATGAACCTCAGCTAATCAGTATTACCTTTTAGATCACCATGTCTACCGCTTATCAAACTCGGACTGTTTCTAGATGTCTAAAAGCAGTGATTGAGTTTGTTTGCATTTCCCTCAGCTTGCTGGTAATTGTGGTGTTTTTTAAAATGCAGATGTAATGTAATCTTATTTTCGTTGGATCAAAGCTGGACTGAAAATTGTATTGTGTAATTATTTTTGTGTTCTTAATGTTATTTGGTACCTAAGTTGTAAATAACATCTACTGCTGTTTATTCCAGTTTCTACTACCTCAGGTGCCCTATAGGTTTTCTTCTACCAAAGTTCACTTTCACATTGAAATTATATTTGCTATGTGACTGATTCCTAAGACTTCCGGGGCTTAAGGGCTAACTTCTATTAGCACCTTACTGTGCAAGTAAATTTTAAAGATCTCTGGGTTAAGAAAATTTGGCTTCATTATATCCTTTGTTATTTTAAATATATCAAGATATTTTAATTAAAAGTTTTTACCCCTTTGAACCAATTTTATAGTATAATTTGTACCTATTTTGGTGGTTTTGTCTTTATAGTAAATAAAAGATTTTGGAAAAAAGTTGACCTTTTTTATAGCAGTGAACTGTAACAGTGTTTGACATTCCCATCTACATGTGTTTTTCTTAAAATATCTGCTACAGTCAGCCAGAAAACACAAGGTTCAAGGAGAAGCATTTATCAACTATTTTTTCAACTATTTATGTACTTTGAAAAATCCCTGTAAATAAGACTTTAATCCTTATTTATCAGCTATGTAGATACTTCATATTTAGAAAACACAGGAAGTTATCTTTAGCTCAAGTTTTAAGTCTGTTTCATTGTGTGCTTTTGTGATAGAAACTTTGTGTGGCACAAAAAATTCCCCCACTGGATAACTACACCATGGGAGGCAGAAAGTATATCTGGATCTTCTAGTAGATCTCTGAACTATTTGCAGTTGATTCCCCTACTTCCCCTAATTTATACTGCTAAAATGAAGAAAATTTAGGGTAATCAGAGTAGAATTTTTTAATGGAAGAGCTGATTTCTGTTTATTTCTGCTACTCAGAAGAAATTCTTGCACTCTCTTGGTACAGAATTCTTGAATTCTGTACCATTTCCACCAGCAACAGTTGGTGGATTCCAAGTGTTCTAGGGGAAAAAACATGGTTCCCACAAGCCTGAAATCTGCCCATTCATGAAACAGCGCTGATTTCATAAGAAGCTTAGCTTGTGTAGTAGAAAAGCCCCTTTTAATTCTTCATTTTGATCCATAAATCCAACCTTACACCTATATTGCCTTAAAAATAAATCTGTGTTCTGAGAAAGCACACAGAAACTTCCCTGTTGTCTGCTTTATAGTTTCTCCTGCTTTTAAGTGATCAAAGTGGTCTTTGGATCTATCCCTAGTAATAAGTGCTAGTTTTTATATTTCTCCAGCTGTGTTCTATTTCTACTTTGTACCCTTTGCAACCATACCTCACTAAAAATCTAAATTGGACAGTGTATAACATCACCTGCATCTGTCTTGGGGGCTAAATGCATGGCAATTTTAATTGCACATCTTGTAGCCGCACTTTTGTTTTTAATTTAATCACAGGTAAGGTGGATGATTTCTATCAGGCATGCAGCACACAATGAAGAGAGGTTTTAATCCTTACCTCACCTCCCTCCCTACCTGCAATTCTCATGAAAACCCATCACCAATTCCCAGTAGTGATTTTTAAAAAGCCCTCTTGTGATTTTGTATTTGCTTTGCTTAACTTTAAGCCCATTCAGGGAAAGCTTAATATTTTGCTCACTACTTTGGTATCATAATCCAAATGAGGGCATTACCCCTTGAATTTCTTCTAAAATGCCCTCCTTTACAGTTCATTCATTTACCTGCTGACTTTAATCATAATCTCAGTCATCTCAGTTTATCTCTGGTAAGCCTGTTTATCAAAAATCAACCCACTGTTTATTTTAGAAGTAGTAGTCGGCTGTCATGTGCAAACTCAAGATAGGTTTGTTATGGTGACTTATTCTGAGCTTGTAACCTATCCTGACAACTTCAGACTTGTAACTGGATTTGTTTGACTCATACATTGCCTAAACACAGATGACATGACCTATAATGAGTCAAGCCCAACTACAAGCAAGTTGTTTGGCAAAAGCAGCCAATATCCTTTGATTGCCATTGCCAACCTCTCCAAAAGTGCCTTAGCAGCATTTAGGAGTGTCTGGCAAAGGCCTCCCCTTCTCCCTGCTAATGCAAACTTTTGTACTCGCTGCTCCTCAATGCTACTTTTTAACTTGTTTGCTTTAAGAGTGCAAGACCTGGCTATCAACCCAGTTTTCATGATTCTATGACTTTGCTGGTCCCCCATCTTGGATTTGGGCCTGAAAGGCCTAGGAAAAGTGCAGGCACATGGAGAACCAGGTTTAAACAAAATTTGGGATCTGCACAGTTCTGAAGACTAAAAGTCCTGTCTTAGATTAGTTTGCCTTCAACGAATAAGTAAAATACAGTAATAGCTTCAATTATGCAAAATTTTGCATATGTAAAACATGCAAATACGTGGTTTTTGTGGGTCTGAGCTCTGGATCTTTTCAATACCTAGCACCACCCCCGACACATAAGATTCTAACATGTAAGAAAGCTTAATATTGATATTTTAAACTATTTAAACAATACCCTACCGTAGCTTGCGTGGAGCCCTCTATTTCCTAGCGTCTAGCCGCTCGCTACTGACCCCTGCATAACTCTTTAAAGCAACCCTATTACTGCACTGGTTCTGACGCACAGCCTATCGTCTATTCACTTGCCTCCAAAGTAATTATCTAGTCCAACGGGTCTTTCAGTCACTGGTACCCAAAACTGCTACGGCCAATAATTAATCTATAGGTAAATAAGGAGCGGTTCTGAACGGTCCAAAAATCACCCTTAGCAGGGAAGGGAAAGGAAGAAAGCTCCGCACAAGCTGGTTTCCAGCAGCACTCCTCTTAGACCTGGAATAGTTTGCGCCCGGTGTCTTTTCCAAACCGTCCCCCCGTGAAAGTGGCTTTCAACACTTTGGTTCCGCAGTTAAGCCCAGCAAGGTTCCTCCTCATTCATCGCAAATGGGCCAATGTTTATCGTTCTTCCCAGTGATTTTTCCCGCGAAAGGAGGGGAGGCTACCTCCAACCTACCCGGGGAACCACAATGAGGAAGGCTAATAGATATTTACTCGAGAGTCGCTGTTGCATCCCCTGCTGCAGACATCACCAAGCGTTTGGATGACGGCTTGACGCGACTAGGGGCAACCTCATTATTATTCCTTTCGCTGACGGTTGTCGGCGAAGGGCAGCATGACTTTCTCCAGAACTAGGCTGGGGCAGGGAAGCCCTGTTAATCCGTTACAGAAACCCACAGGCGCGCGGGGGGCACGGCTGCTTCCGAAAAGCGAGCAGCCGCTTTGCTGCTTATGCGCCCTGAGACTCCGTGTGTCTATCCGACTGTCTTTCGCCAGTCCGCAACCGCCCCGTAATCCGCCGAAAGCTCGATCTGACGAGCGTCGAGGAACCTCGAGCGTGTCGAGGAACCAGCGCGGGGGATGCTTCGGACGCTCGCGCTTTCCACAGGCGCCGCGCTCGGGGAGGAGCTGCGGGGCCGTCTAGGTTCGCCTTCCTTTTCCCTTCTTCCTGTGCGAGAAGACAGCGAGCCATGCTGAGTGCTCTGCGGCGCCGCTGGGAGTCCTACAAGTACCGCTTCGTGCCCTGGATCGCCCTCAATCTCCGCCACAAGCGCAGGTGACGGCAAAGCGAGTTAGTGCCTTCGCGCCCTTCTTGTTTCCCGGTCGCGAGAAATACAAGTGTGCAGAGTAAGGGGACTAACGGCCCAATCGCATGCAGGTGTGCACAGAAAAAATGGTCCTGTGACTCACAGCATTCGTCAGCCAGCCTGGAGGGCGTTTGCCCCCTCCGACACATGCATAGGATTGCGCCGCAGTAAAGCAGGCAGTCCGAGAGACCGGAAGAAGCGCGGGAGAAAGACGAGGAGGCCGGCCTTGTTTGTTCTCATTTTCATCCTCGGTGTCTGCCAGGATTGTTGTGTGCGTAAAACCTGGAAAGTTTGGCGGCCTTCCTAGGACTTTGCAAACGACTGTGTAGCCTTCCTGAAGTTTTGGGTTAGAAAACCTGTCAGCCGTAGACAGAATAGCCAATGGTGAGGGATGATGGGGATTGTAGGTCAAAATATCTGGAGGGTCACAGCTGTTGAGCCTTGCAGATCTTGCCACTGCAGTAGACTGTCAGGCGGACCAATTTCCTCCATGGCCTGGAAGCTGGCACTCCAACATGGTGCCCTGGCACTCAGTAACTGTGGGAACTGTTCTCCAGCTCAGGCAAACCTGCAGGGATAGGCCTTCCCTTGGCCTGTCCCAGACTTTAAGCGGTATTTGCCTCAAATTCCCCAACTCCACTTTGCATTATATGTGATCTTAAAAGATTCCAGTTGTTACAGTTTGCTACTTTAAAATTCAGAACAGCTTACACTATAACAATGAATGAGGTTGTACAAATTATGCAAATGACAGGCTGGCTGTAGGTTTGATGGCCTGAGATGCAATGTCATCCATGGCAGCGTACATGGTGGGTTGGGGGGTTGGGTTTTCCTGTCAGTGGTTTTACTTAGTGGTAGCCAGCAGCAGAGTTTAAATTTCTCATATTGCCTCGGGACAAGGCTGCATTGGAGCATTACTGGAAACAATAAAGATGGCTAGACCCATTTGCCCAGTGCTTCTCTGAGTGCTGAACTGGAAATAATTTTAAAGTTGGAGGCACAGGGCTCAGGTTTCATCAATGGGCTTTACCATGATGCTGAGTCCCCAGATGCTGCCATTGGACCTGCAGACACTTCAGTGACCTTCTTGTCTTGGAAAGCAGCGGCATGGAGGTGTAAGGGGTATACTGATATTTAGCTTCTTTCTTTGTGTATTTATATAGCTGTAATTCAGTGGCAGAGCCTAAGCTTTAGCTTACAGAAGGTCCCAGCTTTGCTTTCCTGTCTGAAACCTTGGAGAACTGCTGCCAGTGTTGACAATACTGGGCTACATGGACTAATAATTGGATTCAATATATGTGTGTCCTGTTTTGCTTTCTCACTGAGATCAGTGCAAGAGAACAGAAAATTAAGGAACTGTAGTGGAGCTATACACAGATACACACACACCAGTGCTAAAGGTGTCTCCCAAAAGCAAAATGGAATTATTGATTTACTAGGGATAGGTACTAGATATTTAAAAAAGAGGGTGCCTCTGTTAAATTCACAAAGTTAGAACATATTATTATGACCACCTTGAGTAAACCACTGGAACATTTTCATTTTAGCAGCAGCTGCCACAATACCATATGATTATCCTGATTGTCATTAGCATCCTGCCATTTGTTGAGTAGGTGGTGTTAAGGTGTAAACTCTCCTATGTGATACAAGCAGCCCATGTGACATATATGGTTTCCCACTCAGCATCTTGATTTGCAGACAGTAGCAGTGTTAATACTCTCCATGCTGTGAAATACGCTGTGCGCTCTCCATGCTGTGTGAGAGACTCTTGATGCTGTGAAAGGCACCACTTGCTCATTTTTGTGATTCAAGCTTATGTTAAAGCCCCAGGAGGAGACTGGGCAGATTTATTTCTAGTCAGCTGGCAATCTCAGTGGTGACTGTTTCTCACTGTAATGTTGTATTGCCAGTGTTGAGCACTGTTCACTAATACAAACAACAAACAAAACAGGAAGAAGTTGCTAAAGCCCCATTAAATCATTAGTAAAATTCCTGTTGACATCAGCAGAAAAAATGTTTCGCTTAGGTTTGTGGGTCATAGTTCAAATAATAGCATAATTTTACTACATTCCAGCATGATGGGGTACTGGTAATAGCTGGATTAACTATTACTTGACAAACCTTTATTTGTCAGGACTGGGCTAAATGTCAGGTCAATATGATTTCTTTGTCACCATCATGCCCTCAAGATCCCTATATCTTGGAAGAAGAGCTTTCCTTCACTAATGCTTTGAAATTGTTTCTCAAGAGGAGTCAGCCAATAAAGCTAGAAATCAAGCATATGTATTGCATAGATATCAGTTCTACGTTGGATGTAGGATGCACTAAGTCTGCTTTTTCTTTTCTTTTTTTCATTCCTATTTTGTGTAGTAATAAACAGATCCCTGGAATGAATACAAGTTTAAACTGATTTTAGTTCTCCTGGGTAAACCATTAAATACTTCATGCTGAATACTTGTGGTTTAATGATCTCACCACAGTTCTTCTAATGAATCCCAGCCTTATATTCTCTGAAGGTTATTGTATTATTCTTTGGGTAATACAATTATGCTGGTTGTCTTAATTTAGGATAGATTTCACTGTTTATTAAAAAAATCCGTCTGAGTATTTGTTACAGAAGTCAATTTTGTAGGCTCCCCCCACTCTCTCTCTCTCTCTGTGATATTTTTCTTCATCCAGGCCTCAACGGAGTCATACAAATAAGAATTAAGCATATGGTTTCTTCCCTCCTTTCTCCCATTTCACCTGTTGTATCAAGCAGGACTTACTATTTTCTGTTACTTTCTTAGACCAAGAAGTTCCTAGGTGCAAAGCAAGCAGTGGCAGTAGTTCCTGCCAAGCAAGTCTGGGGTAGTGGTGCAGAGAGGAGACACAGGGAGAGGTATAAACAGCTGCTTTAGAAATACAGTGCCATTTAATATATCACCAGAATCCACTTAAAATGGCAGAAGGAGTGATCAACTGAGCGTCTTATGCATCCTATGGGAACACTACATTATAGTTTCATGTTAACTGTTTCATGTAACAGTAACCCCTGTCAAGAATGGGAAATGGTTACTTGCCACTGGAATCTCATTTAATTATCTGTATTGCTCTGTATTAGTTTAGGCTACTACTCCCAGGATTCCTGACCAATGGCCATGCTAATTAGAGTTGAAGTCAGCACATCTGGAGGGCATAAGGTTAGGGAAGGCTGTCCTAGGCAATGTAAGAGAATGCACATTCTGTTTAGAATATTATAAGACAATATTTGTTTACAAGAGATGAGCGGAGCTGTCAAGGACAGGACATTTTGATGGGTCCATTTAGCCCATTCATTTTGTCACCATAAGTCAGAAACAGCTTGATGGCAGATAATAAAAGCAACTTCAAAGTATTTGTACATTTTAAAAATGCAATGGGCATGTTGTGCTAAGCTTTGCTCATCTTTAGCATTTTAATAAAACTATTCTTACAAATACAGTCAAGTAATTTTTTAATGTTCCATCCCATGTAATGCAATTAAAATTCCTCTGTTGCTTATTTGATTTTTTTCCCTCTTTCAGAACTCTGCGGTTTGTACCAGAAGAATCAAAAGACAAAATTGTTTCTGATGACTGCGTCCTTCAAACACTGCTGAAAACATTTAGAGCTTTATTTGTAAATGACTTGGACAAACAAATGGTTCTTCTTAACTTTCTTCCAGAAATTAAGTCTAAATATCCAGAACTAGAGACAGTTCCACTCAAAACATTCAAAGCAGTGAATGACAACCATCAGAGTCAAAATCCAGAAGAAGTTTTGTTTAATACATTAGGATTCAGTATTAGCCGAAGGTGCAGTTCACTGATTTCTGCTGGAACAGGAGTCTTTGTTACCAAAGGTTTTGTACCAAAAGGAGCAGTTGTATCTATGTACCCTGGTATGGAAATAATGCATTTTCAAATATGTGAACCTATGAAGGTACCCTATACCAATTCAGACCATTGGTCTATCTCAGTATTATCAACACTAGTTGTCTGAAGCAATCCAGGTCTTTTACAGGCCTCCTTGGAGTTGTCAGAGTCTGAATCTAGGACTTTCTGCATCAAAGCATCTGCTGTACCACTGGGTTCTGGCCCACTTCTTTCATAGGGTTGAGCTATGCAAAGCATTTGTTTTGTTGGGTGGCATTTTTCTGAAATAGGTGAGGCTTGGTGTGTTCCACAGGGATTTTAAAATAAAGACCTAGTCCTTTGCATGTTTAGACAAACAAATATTTAGAATGGTTGACTGGGGAGTTCAAGAAGTCACATATTTTTTCATCTGAACAAGTATAGGCTTATGCTCTATGAGACTCTTTTAACCAAGGGACATTTTGCAACCTTGGCCTGAAGGCGTTGAAACTGGTGTTCAGAAGTATTTGGTTCAGCCTTCCTCTGGTTGCCACTGGCTTAACGGCAGGGCTCCTGTACTATCTGCAGCAGTATGTCAGAAAGAGGCAACATTTTCTTAACACTGCACCTCCATGCTGAGAAAAGGAGCCCTTTAAAGGTTCTGCTCTCATGCAGCCATTGGAAGCTCAGGAGTCCTGCCAAATATCAAGCTTCCTACAGAACATCCCTTAAGATAGGGGTGTTTATCCTCTTAGGACCAGGTCTAAGTTCAACCAGAGAAGCTCTTTGGGATCACATGCCACTGGTGAGCTAAGCAAAAGGGTACTGGGCCAAAATAATATATAGTTAATTAGTATATTCTAACTTAAAGCACTTATGGTTGATAACTAACTATGGTTGATAAAGGCATTTCAACCTTTTTACATGGGGAGAAAACTGCTCAAGGCAGGAAACCACCGGCCAGCAGCTGGGAGGGAACAGATGTGACCAAAAGAAGGGGCTGTGTCCCTTTAGAATCTCTGAGAGCCAGATTTGGTCTGCGACCCTGAGGTTGAGCACCCTTACCTTAAGTTTAGCATTTGTGTAACAGACTTGATGTGGTATAGTGAATTCTCTCAGAGTTAGGCTGCAGGAATCTCATTTCAAATTGCTACTTAGTCATGAAACTGACAAGGTGATCTTGGTCCAGTTTCTGTCCTTTTGCCTAACTGTCTAGCCTGCCTTGCAGTCCTTTTGTGAGAACAGAATTGGATAATTCTCATTTATGCTACTCTGAGCTCATTGGAGAAGAGTGGGATGTAAAGTTCCTGCAGTTCAACTCTTAAGGAAGAACCTATTGCACCCTGAATGGCACCAAATTTATCATCTCTTCAGTGCCAGATTAGGAGGGCCCTCTGTACCAAGGCTTTTAAAGATTTATCTAGATACCCAGGGGCTTGAGGGGGTTGCCTGCCTGGTGTGTTTCACCAAGTCTTTCTTTGTTATTGTTTGGTTTTAGCTGTTTTAAATGTTTAATGTACTGTATTTCTCAATGAATATATAATCTGTTTTATGGACTGTTTTAAATTACCCAGAGAGCTTTGGCTGAGGGGCACTATAGAAAGGAAATAAAGGAATAATGCCATGGGAAGAAATGGTACAATTTCACCATTCTGAGCATTGAAGGCTTTAAAATAACTACACTGATCCTGCAAATGCACATGGCAGTCTTTTCCCACATGCTCATATATACATCAAGCTGAAGCAGTTTGGTGCCCACAGCTGTTTGTAAGTAAGTGCTTAAATCTGTATTGGTCATAGAATAGTAGAGATGGAAGGGGCAGAAGGCCATCAGGTCCAAACCCGTGCTCAGTGCAGGACTCCAAGTTAAATCATCCCTCTCAGATGGCTGTCCAGTTGCATCGTGAATGCCTCTAGTGTGGGAGAGCACACGGCCTCCCTAGGTAATTGGCTTTATTGTCATAGTTCTCTAACAGTCAGGAAATTTTTCCAGATGTCTAGCTGGAATCTGGCTTCCTGCAACTTCATTCAGTTATTCTGTGTCTTGCTCTCTGGGATAATTAAGGAGAGATCCTGTCCTTCCTCTTTCTGACAACCTTCCAGGTACTTGTAAAGTACTATCATATCTTTCAGCCGTCTTCTTGAAGCTAAACATGTCCAATTTTTTCTCTCATAAGGCTTTGCTTCCAGTCCCTGGATCATCCTTGTTGCCGTCCTCTGAACACTTTCCAGGTTGTCTGAGTCTTCCTTAAACTGTGGTTCTTAGAACTGGACACAGTTCATCTTTCATCTCCCTTCATCTCTCTCTATACATTTTTAAATTAATATCATTTATCATTCTGTTCAATAATGTAGTTCTGCAGTGTTGGAGAGCACTAGGCCTCGGACAGAACTCTCTGGTACCCCACTTGTTACCTCTTCTCAGTTTGAGAAAGTACCCTTTGTGTCCAATTCTGTAGCCAATTGTGGATCCACCTGATCATTGTTCCACCTAGCCCACTTTTAGATAATTTGCTAATCAGTATATCAGGGGACACTTTGTCAAAAGCTTAGCTAAAGTCAAGATAGATTATGACCACAGCTTTCCCACAGTCCATTTGGGAGGTTACCCAATCAAAAAATGAAATCAGATTAGTCTGGCAGGATTTGTTCTTGAGAAATTCATGTTGGCTTCTAGTAAACACTGTATTGTTTTCAAGGTTTTTGCAGATTGATTGCTTTATAATTTGCTCCAGAATTTTCTCAGTGATTGATATTCACCTGACTGGTCTGTAGTTCCCAGGTTCTTCTTTTTTCCTTTCTTGAAGATACGGACAACATTAGCCCTTCTCCAAGTCAAAAACAGCAATTCCTTTTGTTCCTTCCTCCTCTTTCTGTTGGAGGAAGTTATCAGCCACACAAGTCAGGAATATCTTGGAGGGGTGATGTTTGGCAGAATTTGTCGTCCAACAGGTCAGGGAAATTAAAGTCCCCCATAACAATGACCTCATGCCTCCTTGAAACCCTGGCAATTTGCTTTTCAAAAGTTCAATTCTCATCTTCTCCTTGACTGTGTGGTTGGTAATAGTCTCCTACCACTGTATTTATTTTATTCCTTGCTCCATTTATATTAATCCAAATGCTCTTGATGGGGCCACTAAGCTCATTTTCTTGTATTTTTGTGCAGACATAAATATCCTTAACATATAGTGCAACTCCTCCTCCCTTTCTGTTCCTTCTGTTCTTCTTCTGGTGTATCCATCAATTGTTGATGGGAGTTGTGTTTCATCAAAACAATTAAGAGTTCAAGTTCATGTTGTTTGTTTCTCATACTTTGGGCATTAGTATGGAGACATAGAAGACCACATGTTTTATACTCCAGCTATCTTCCTACATGTTTTGGAAGACTATTATTGAGCACTGCTCTCTCAGTTGCAGTACATAAGCCTCTGTCTGTTGTTATGCCCAGCCATACTTCTTCCTCCCCTGTAGGATTCAGTTTAAAGGCCTCCTGAATGTGTCCAAACACATTCTTTCCAGTCTTCGTAAGATGCAACGCATCCCTTGCCAGCAGCCCATCTTCCAGGAAGTGTAGCCCGTGGTTCCAGAACCAAATCTCTCACATTGGCACAACCATCATAGCCAGGCATTCCCTTGGAGTATTTTTCCCCTGTCTGTTCCTTTTCCAAGAACTGGAAGGACTGAAGAGGAAACTGTCTGGGCTGTGAAGTTCTTGACTTTCCTCCCTAAGGCTACAAGGTCGAATGGGGTTTCTTCAAAGCTCCACGTGGAGGTGTTATTTGTTCCCACATGTGCAAGAAGTGGGCTGTATGTCACTGGGCTGTATGAGCCTTGGCAATGCTCCAGTTAAATCACTGATCTCTCCTCCAGGGAAACAGCATACCTGACAAGTCTGCATGGCATCCTGACATACATGTGTTTCCATCCCATGCAACAGAGTCTTCCACAAGATGACAAAGATGTCCTACCTCAAACATCTAAAATGGCTAATTTTGTCTTATATAGGTACTGTCTATGAAAAGTCTGAGCCCATCTTTTTCCAGTCCATTGGCAATCCATTCATATTTAGATGTATAGATGGGGTACTCATTGATGGGAATGACAAAGGAATATCCAAAGCTATATACAGGTAGGTACCTGCTAGAAAAATGCTGCTCTCAACCTTCACTCATTATGATGATGTTATATGAAACCAAACAAATTTGAAGTCTGTTTTAGTTTTTTATGTAGAATACAGTGTTAGCTACCAGACTGGGTGATTTTATTTTCTGCCTGGCTTGCTGGTATTCCACGTTTCTTTCTAGTGTAGAACTAGAACATAAGTTTGCACAGTTTCACAAGTTTAGTATTAAGAATATCCAAATATTTTTGTATTTTTCGGTGGTTAATTTGTAAACATTTAAAGCAGGAAGTTGGCAGAATTCTTGCCAATATAATAGGTTGAAATTTTTAGGTTGAAATTTTTTATTTAAATAAAAACATACTACAGGGACAGAAAATACTTGAGGATAAACTGATCACAGTTTTGTCGATGGACTGTCTGTTGTTGCATCAATTCAGAATTCACTTATTTGGCATAAAGTAGATGGTCATGTGTATAAAAATTTGAGCCTCAACAAGCAGTGTTTAAAGTAGTGGGATTTTTAAAGCATTTTTGGATGCTAATTAGAAGCCAGTATTTGCAAATCACTTGTTCCCTTGAATATCTGCTAACAATGCAATGGGCAGATTATTAATATATTGGTCTCACCCATTATCAGTTCCAGGCTTTGAAAAGGAACTGCACAGGTTCATGGTTATAATACATCTGTGATATAATATAGGTGTTAAACATGGTAAACAATGAATTATTTATATATTTAGGGCACAATCATATGCACTTTTAAACAGAAAAGATGTATGAAAATTCCCAGCATTCTGGGAATACAATACAAGTTGTAGAATTGTTTGGTTTTTTGTCTGCTTTTTTGTGTAAACATGAATGGACAGGTTTTTTTCCCATCTAAACATGCATAGCATTTTAAAGGCATTTTTACCCTGCTCTTCAGCTGAGAAGTCTCCTCTTATGGGGGATACAGGCTCATTAACAAGAAAGGCTAGGAAAAGGAGATGAGGATAGTGGAAAGCAAGCAAACATAGACACTAGTTCTTCAAGCTGTAGAAATTCTTATGACATCAAACTGGAATGGAAATTGCTCTGATTTAAGATGAGCTCAATAGAGCTAATTGAACATCGAGGCAGTGGAGCAGGCTCTGCAATCCAGTCTAATGCTTACCTAGATGGAATAGCTGCTGCAAGGAGCTGGTTGAAAGAAATATACTTCTGGTTTGCTTTGTTAGTGGTTTTGTTCCCCAGTGTGGTTCCCTGCAGGTGTTTTGGACTACAGCTTTTGTCAGTTCCAGTAAGCACTGCCATTCATCAAGAACATATTGCTTTGTGCTAAACATCAGCCAAGGCTTACAAGAGTCACCAAGCTGCATGCATACCTGCAGCAGTATTTTATGGCTTTCCAGATGCTTGACGGCCCACTCACCCAAATCCATATATCTCTCTGAATCTGCTGTATTTGGTTTGGTGTTTTTCTAGTTCAGTAGCTTCTGAGATAACCTTTTTCTACATGTTTGCTATATCTCCCACATGCCTTCCTTGTTGTTGTTGTTGTTGTTGTTGTTGCTGCTGTTAGTTGCGAAGTCATGTCCGACCCATCACGACCCCATGGAAATCATTCCTCCGGGCCTTCCTGGCCTCCACCATACCCCAGAGTCCACTTAAGCTCACACTGACTGCTTCAGTGACTCCATCCAGCCACCTCATTCTCTGCTGTCCCCTTCTTCTTTTGCTCTTCTCCATGAGTCTCATTAGATGACCAAAGTATTTGAGTTTCATCTTCAGTATCTGGCCTTCTAAAAAGCAGTCAGGGTTGATCTCCTCTAGGACTGACCGGTTTGATTGCCTTGCAGACAAGGGACTCACAGGAGTCTTCTCCAGCACCACAATTCAAAGGCCTCAGTTCTTCAGCAGTCAGCCTTCCTTATGGTCCAGCTTTCACAGCCATACATTGCAACTGGGAAGACCATAGCCTTGACTATACGCACTTTTGTTGGCAGGGTGATGTCTCTGCTTTTTAGTATGCTGTCTAGATCTGCCATAGCTTTCCTCCCCAGGAGCAAGCGTCTTTTAATTTCTTGGCTGCAGTCCCCATCTTGGAGCCCAGGAAAACAAAATCTGTCACTACCTCCATTTCTTCCCCATCTATTTTCCAGGAAGTGAGAGGACTGGATGCCATGATCTTAGTTTTCTTAATGTTGAGTTTTAAGCCAACTTTTGCGCTCTCTTCCTTCACCCGCATCAAGAGGCTCTTTAGTTCCTCTTCACTTTCTGCCATGAGAGTGGTATCATCTGCATATCTGAGGTTGTTGATATTTCTCCCAGCAATCTTAATTCCAACTGGTGATTCATCTAGCCCTGCCTTTCTCATGTTGTGCTCTGCATATAAGTTAAATAGGCAGGGCGACAGTATACAGCCTTGCCGAACTTCT